GTTGTTGTTGTTGTTGTTGTTGTTGTTGTTGTTGTTGTTGTTGTTGTTGTTGTTGTTGTTGTTGTTGTTGTTGTTGTTGTTGTTGTTGTTGTTGTTGTTGTTGTTGTTGTTGTTGTTGTTGTTGTTGTTGTTGTTGTTGTTGTTGTTGTTGTTGTTGTTGTTGTTGTTGTTGTTGTTGTTGTTGTTGTTGTTGTTGTTGTTGTTGTTGTTGTTGTTGTTGTTGTTGTTGTTGTTGTTGTTGTTGTTGTTGTTGTTGTTGTTGTTGTTGTTGTTGTTGTTGTTGTTGTTGTTGTTGTTGTTGTTGTTGTTGTTGTTGTTGTTGTTGTTGTTGTTGTTGTTGTTGTTGTTGTTGTTGTTGTTGTTGTTGTTGTTGTTGTTGTTGTTGTTGTTGTTGTTGTTGTTGTTGTTGTTGTTGTTGTTGTTGTTGTTGTTGTTGTTGTTGTTGTTGTTGTTGTTGTTGTTGTTGTTGTTGTTGTTGTTGTTGTTGTTGTTGTTGTTGTTGTTGTTGTTGTTGTTGTTGTTGTTGTTGTTGTTGTTGTTGTTGTTGTTGTTGTTGTTGTTGTTGTTGTTGTTGTTGTTGTTGTTGTTGTTGTTGTTGTTGTTGTTGTTGTTGTTGTTGTTGTTGTTGTTGTTGTTGTTGTTGTTGTTGTTGTTGTTGTTGTTGTTGTTGTTGTTGTTGTTGTTGTTGTTGTTGTTGTTGTTGTTGTTGTTGTTGTTGTTGTTGTTGTTGTTGTTGTTGTTGTTGTTGTTGTTGTTGTTGTTGTTGTTGTTGTTGTTGTTGTTGTTGTTGTTGTTGTTGTTGTTGTTGTTGTTGTTGTTGTTGTTGTTGTTGTTGTTGTTGTTGTTGTTGTTGTTGTTGTTGTTGTTGTTGTTGTTGTTGTTGTTGTTGTTGTTGTTGTTGTTGTTGTTGTTGTTGTTGTTGTTGTTGTTGTTGTTGTTGTTGTTGTTGTTGTTGTTGTTGTTGTTGTTGTTGTTGTTGTTGTTGTTGTTGTTGTTGTTGTTGTTGTTGGTGTTGGTGTTGGTGTTGGTGTTGGTGTTGGTGTTGGTGTTGGTGTTGGTGTTGGTGTTGGTGTTGGTTGTTGTAGTTGTTGTTGGTTGTTGTTGTTTGTTGGTTGTTGTTGTTTGTTGTTTGTTGTTGTTTGTTGGTTGTTGTTGTTGTTGTTTGTTGTTGTTTGTTGTTTGTTGTTGTTTGTTGTTGTTTGTTGTTGGTTGGTTGTTGTTGGCCCTTGTTTGGGGGGTGCCTCGGTTTCCTAGCCTTTAAAAGTGGTCGGCGGCCCGTTGAGCTCTTTTGGTGGGTTGCTAACTTCCTTTTTACTGGGAGCAGTGATTGTGCCCGAGATTCCTTTGGCATTGCTTGGTTCCGAACCCCTTACAAGTGTTCGGCGGCCCGCCGAGCTCTTTTGGGGGGTGCCGAACTCAGCAACTCCGTGGGAGGTGCCTTTGCAAGATGCCATTATATTCTCGTTCTGCAGGCCTCCCAGGTCAAGTTCTTGTCTTGCGCTGAAAGGCGTGGCTGTATATGCATTGCAGATGTTTAGGCCGTTTCCTCGTCGCATAAGAGCAGTCGGCGGCCCTCAGAGCTCTTCCGGGGTGTGTATCAAAGGAGGCAGGCTGCAGCAATGTTAAATTTGGTACTTTGGCTGGCCCTGTTTAAAGGGAAACCACACAAAAAAAAACAGTTTTTGTTTTGCTGTGCTCCTTGTTTGTATCTTTGTTGCCCAGTGGTGGCCTTTTTTTCTCCATTTTTTGGGTAGGGGGTCCCCTTTCGACTCAACCAGCAAAAGAAGGGTGCCCGTTTTCCCATGGAAATCCACTGGGCATCTGAGGGTTTAAAGGGAAACGAAGATCGAAAACTCTATTTTTTTGCAGTGCTCCATGTTTTTTGCACCCATTGGCTAGTCGCTTTGCCAAAGGATGGACAACATCTGGCAAATTATTGCAGCCGTAGGTGAACATCATCCTGAGTATGACGACATGCGCCGTCTACTAAAATGTTCAAAAGTGTTTCTGAGCGAAGCTTTATTGTCCCGAGCCTGTTCGAAGGTTCAAAGCCAGAAGGAACAATGGTTTCGCTGAAGCCTGCAAGGCAAAGCATCTAAGCTTTTCGACTACCTGGACCGACAAGGCAGTGATACGGGGGAGTGGGCGCGGGCACACATGGCGTAGTCTCCTTTCGCCCACGGTGGGGGCAGCAACATACTTGGGATTGATCACTGCAGAGGTTCCAATCGATTTGCAGGAGCCACGCTGAGTTGCCCTTTGACCAATGCGACATTGGGAATTTCATCAGATAGCTCCATTCTGGAATGGATGTCAGAAGTTAGCGCCTCAAAGCATAAACCTCCAACCTTCACCAGGAGAAGATCCGGAATAGGAGTGGTTCCCGGTGAGTCCATCAGAACATTGTTTCTTACATTGCATTTGCCGCCAGAAACAGTGTCAACGGGCTTGCTGAGCACTCCTCAAGCCACCAGTGTGTGTGAGAGAGGGCGGAGAGCTCGTTGCCGTGCGATCATTCATAGCTTGAAATGTGTCACAGCCTGTGGCAAGATTCGGTGAGCCTACAACATCAGCACATGCTCACCGTAGCAATTGCAGACCTGATTAAGGTAGCCTGAAACAGCCAGACAATCCAACATCAGAGCAACATGTACTGCCGGGCACACGGTGTCATGATATAACGAAAGCTCTCCGAGTCAACTTGGAACTCATATGATATCCCGCTTGCGGCGGAATGGCTGTTTCGTCGACGGTTTTCTGGAGCGCCATGCGTTGGATGATATGTTCAAGCAGTTGTGTGTCCAGCCCAAATCAGAAGCAAACGCGACATCGAAGGATGCCAGACTTGACTGATGGACCCTTTCTCTTTCCTAGATCGGATAGATGTTTGTGCACATCGACAAGCATCAGCTGATGCAAAGGCATTTGCAAGGTGCCGAACTTATCAAGAGAACTTGCAACATGCAAAGCTGTTTCCGCTTGTTGTGTGGAAACCGGGCTGCGGTGAACAATGTCTAGGAGGAGTTATTGCTGGTGGGCATATGGCATGCTGTTGTGCAGGCCTGGGGATTCTCACCGTACACAGCCTTACCTTCTTGGACCGCTGGATGCTCCCGCCCTACATGCACCTTGGTTTGATGCCAGGTCCTTCATGAGCGTGGCTGCCACAGTGAGAGACTAAGTCACCTGGTATGGGAAATCCTGCGTCCTGTTGCGGCAGAGCCATAGACTAAGACTATTCGGCAGCATGTTCGTCGCGGTGTACAAGATCGTCACAGTGGTGCGTGATATGCAGCACATGGCGTTGTCTTCTGTGGTTGCATATCCCAGAATGCGAAGTTGCCGCTCTGAGCTTAGGCAGCCACAGTTGGCATCATGCGTGTTGTTTTCAGGGGAAGCTGCAAATCGTTTTAGTAGCAGCTTTGCCTTGATGACTGGCTCGTGTGTCAACATCATGATAATGTTTGTTCATTTGTAGTGCCATGCGGAGCATACACGCCTATCATTTGCCTCGCCTGTTTTCAAAGGGCCTCAAGACAGAGAGCCGAGGTCAATGTCTAGGGAGCCAACTCAAGCAACCCACCGAGCATCAGGCATATGTCAGGATGAGACTGCTTTGCCTTTTTCCACTTCCTGTTTCAAGGTGTCTCCCAAGATCTGCCGCCCTTTTCTCGATGAGTAGTCGAGCTGCTTCCCAGGGATCCAGACATGTTCACCATCAAGACTGAATGCTGCTGGCGCCTGAGGTATTATCAGCCTGACGTCAGAGGCGTACGGGTTGTCAAGGACTGGACTTGATTGTTGCGTTTCGATACTGCTTGGCTGCACCATTCGCACTTGGTCCCCGACTTGCGTAGGAGAAGCTGTTGGACTTGCATCAGCATGCTCTTATTGCGTGGCGGAAGATTGACAAAGATGGCAGCATGCGGCTGCTCAGATGCAGAGGCTGCTTCTGCCACTGATGCGGCAGCTGGAGAGGGCTCACAGCATCCATTAATATTGGTGAACAGCTTTGATTTCGACCAAGTTCTGAAAGGGAGTCGCTGTCAGCTTCCATGTTCGATTGGAGGGGTGTGCTCAGTGCTCTCTCAGGATTTCTTATGATGAATTCCGGGGCTACATCTTCGACATGCTGAGCGGCAACAAGGCACCGCTCACGTGAATGATGTTCGGATCAGGCTACTCATTCGTATGGACGTACTGAACAGGTGACATGATGCGCGAAAAGACCTTTCTTCCTGATGCCCGAAGCTTTCCTAGGTGGCCTCACAAGGCTCGATGTTTACTTATGTGGCGTGCTAGTTTGGAGATTTGATATCACTGCGACTCGTTTAGAATCCAGTGGCCTAATTATTCAATCGGCGGTTGGTGATTCTTGTGAGGTGCTGTGGTGCATGACAATATGCTGATGCTTTTACGTCGAGGTCCCCGATTAGAAGACTGCATGTCACTCGCAGGCTCTCAGGCAGCCAGAAGGACATATTAGCATCGTTGTCCGCTAAAGAAGGAAGGAACTTACCATGTTTCTAAATTGAATTGAGCCCACAGGCATGCCATTTGTGTATGCATGTGCCATGAACCAAGGCCACAGTTGGCTGCGATGTGTACTTGAACACGCCAACCAACTAGCTGTTTGGCGTTGACGGCATGTTTTGCCAAAGTCTTAGCAAGAAGTGTTGAAATCAGCGACATGCACACACACTTTCCTCTCTTAGTCTCCATAGAAATCATATACAAGCACGAGTTGGCTCATATGATCCTTGCATGTGTTCTGCAGTTGGTTCATTTGGTCAAGCCCGACACCGACAGAGCAATTACTGGCAAGGGCCAGTCCCATTTTAACGTGATGACTTGTGTTGTTGTCACAGAAAGCGTTGAGCCTCCAAAACGAAGGGCTTTCTCTTATTGTTACTTGTTTCTTTCTTTCTTTTCGCTTTTGAGCAACCCAGAAAGGAGGCCTTCTCCAAAATATGGTTTGGACTCCTTGTTGACTCCAATAAGCACGATTCTTCATGTGAACTACCACCAAAGGGGTCGGAGCAAGGGATATTGGAGTGGAAGAGGGTCCAACAGCCCCCAAAAACTGCGGATCCTTTGCCCCAGCGACTCACCACTCACCGACTCGCGACTCACCACTCACCGACTCGCGACTCACCACTCACCGACTCGCGACTCGCGACTCGCGACTCGCGACTCAGCACGCAGTGCGCAGGCGCAGGTGCAGACCACCGCCAACTTCCCCCGCAGCGACGCAGAGATCGCGGCGGTGTGGCGCGCCATGGACAAGGCGCGGACGAGAAAACACGAGGCACACTACACGGGGTCGTCACACTTTGGTGGCTGGAGCTGTCCCCCTCCGCAAACCTTCACATCCCCGAGTTTTTGAAGAAGTGACTTAGAGTGACACTATTCTGTTGACTGTTTCTGGGCATTCTCAAAGTCAGAATTGTTCTCTTCAACCCACCACTTGGAGGTGACATTTACGGCAAAATACCCGCTTTGCATAGTGACTCCCTTGGTCTTGTTGGCTCTTAGCAAGGGGTGACGGACTCAATCAACCGTATCTTTTCCATAGTGGATGCTTGCTTCAGGCCGTAGCAAACAAGTTCACCCATGATGAAGGCGCCTTGAGGATTCCACCAGTTTGTGAACTCGAGCGTGCGTATGGTTTAATTTCAAGGCAAACAGGAGGCAAACCAACCACAGGATGTGTTGTGCTGAGTTACAAAGCTCGACCAAAAGGAATGCAAGGCTAACACACACACACACACACAATGCACAAATCTATTATGGAATTCGCAGTTTCAGCTTCCAGGCGGCGATTTGGCGCCATAAACATTGAAGGTGGGGTGATGTTCAGAAGACATGTGACAGAATACGACGCCAAACATGATTACTTTTTCTGGGGAAATGCCTGTCATTTCTTTGTGCTGGGAATGTAGGACCACCTCCTAGCATAGAAGGTACCTAGGGTACCCCTCGCCACGACAATCCTGGGATTTTTTCAGGAACCCTAGATTCTTGAGGGAACCTGTTTCGAGCCTGCACTTCCATGTAAAAGAAAAACGTGAGTGAAAACGCAAGTTCTGACCCACGAAAGTGTCCTAACATAGCACCTGAAAATAGGCCCTACACTTCCATGTAATGGAGAACACGTGCGCTTAACATGGAAGTGCAGGCTCATCGTTTGCCCTGTTGTTTTTCGGCGGTCAATAGGGAAACTATGATTATGTTAGGAGCAGTTTCGCGTATCCCTGAGATGAACCTGCATTTTTCCGGTACGCTTAAAAATTCGGTGTGTCCGCCCGCTAATGCTGAAAAATGCAGTTTGCTACCAGTCGTTCGTCGTACCTAGATGGGGGTTCCGGGACCAGTTCTGGAAGGGGTGGGGGGGGGGAGTTCGGTTTGTGTTCGGGGTGGGTGGGTAGGGTTTCAGGGAGCCGGTGCCCGAATCATCGTCGGAAGTCAGCTTCGTGTTCTGAAATGCGGAAGGCGACAAAAGACACCCCAGGGACTTCTATGTTAGGATTACCCAAAACATGTTTTTGTTTGACTAACCTGCAAAAGCATAAAACTAAAAGCTTCGGAGCTTCCTGTTTAATGGGTGTATGCGGGAGGAGATGTTTTGATTAGACATGGGAACACAGTGGTCACAGCGAAGCAGAGACGCGTTGGGCAGGACTGCACGGGATACATCCAGTTGCGAGACTGGGACTCCAAGAGCCACCTGAGCCTTTCGGAGTTTAAGACATGGGCTGAGAGGATTGGGTTCGGATCGAATCGAGCATTGGGCAATCAGGGCGTAAGGATCTCCATTGGAGGCAGGGGTCTTGTAAGTTGGAGGTAGGGATCAGAAGGGTTCGTTTGGGACCTCAAAGATGGGCAGGTTTGAGATCGGGTAGCTGACTTTCAGGGCGCGCATGGTCATTTTACCCCAAGCCGAGCACAAGTGTGAGTTGGAGGCTTCCAGTACCTACCGGTGTTGCATGAACCAAGTCGGGCCCGTTTGGTTACGCACATGCTGGGGCTATTTAGTACCATGTGACTTGATCAGATCACAGACGACCCCCAACCAATTCGGGCATGGGGGGGGGGAACCACAAAATCAACCAAAAGAAGAGGCCCCCCCCCAAAAAAAAACAACCAACTCAAAGTCAACCAAAAGTAGAGGTACCCCCCCTCCCCCCAAAGAAAAAAAACACACGGGAGACGAAGTTGTGTGGTTCGATGTCCCTCCGTTTCCCTTTTGCAGGACCCACGGCACGGTGACTGCGGCCTTTAGGGCCTTGGACGTCGGCGGCAATGGAGTCACCTCCAACTGCCGCTCCAGCTGAGAGTTGCGTTTTGGGTATCCCCCCAATCCGAACGGGCTGTGGTTGTCAAAACCGTTTTGGGATCCCATGTTGGGGGAGGTGAATTCACCACCCATGATGGTCGGGATTTTCGTGGGGATTGGGATGTTCACTGAGGGTGCGATTTGGATTTTGACCCATGGCCAAAGGACAACTGCCATTCTAGGGTCAGTATCTTGGCACCCGAACGGCCATGCGTTGTTTTCTAGACCGCCAGAGAGTTGCCATTTGTGACTTTCAGATGTAGTTGTCGTCCTTTTTTGCAGCAAGTGCCATAACTCGGGCGAGCAAAGAAAGGTGAACAAGAATGCCTCCGCCATTTTATGGTCCCAAGAGCCTTAAATATCAAATGTGGACTTTAGCTTCTGTTGTGTGTCCGTGGTGCACGACCAAAGTTATGTGAAGCAGGTCCACGGTCAAAGAAATCGCTTGCATCGCGAAAGACTGGTGATTCGAACGCGAGGCTGAACGCAAAAGAAATCAGCAGCAAGTGCTCCCAGCATGGGCTTGTTGAATATGTCATGCTCCTGCGAAAGGGGACATAAGGCAGGCACCTTGATTTTGCGCAATCCCAAAGCTAGAGACAAGGGCCGCATTTGTTTCTTTGAATTTCCGCCCAAGTTCCACGAATGATTGTTGTCCCTGGCAAAATGCGATACTGGCGTCAAGCACCAGGCAAGCTGTCCCTCACCGAGCTGAAAAAATGTACGAAGGGTCCTGACGGATGCAAGGCAGGGCTGTGGGCTGTGCGAGCGGGGGGGGGGGGGCAGCCGCACATTGCGCATCACTCTTAATGTGTTTTGCAACATGCGTTCAGTTGATTGGCGAGGTGTTGGTAAAACTAAACACTTTGTTGCAACTGCCTTCCCATGTCTGCTGGAGAGCCTTGTTGCAACGCACGCAGGCGGAGGTGGAGTTCCTGTTTGATGGCCTGGATGCAACTGCGACTGAAGATTTCAGCGCTTCGGGACAGTTTTCCGCCATTGCAGTATGCCCGGAGAATGTATGTGACATACCTCCAAGTACTGGGCAAAACACCGCACCTGGATGTGCTCTAGACGCTAGATATTATTTACTCCAACAGGTCTGTATATCATTTGCCATGACACTCTGTGCGCAATCGCACGGACGTGCCAAGCGCACCCTGCCATGCACCAAAGACAAAAAGCCTAGGAATGCCTGAAACCAACGTGAGGCTCAGCCCAGCGCTCGAAGCAACCACGAGTGCCAACACGAGGGCCAGGCAGCTGGAAGGAAGGACCTAGAGTATACGAATACAGCCATAGGAGAATCACCTTCCATTCTCGCCTGAGCAGTTGTTTCAACCCACAGATTTCTTCACTTCGAGTGGCCCTCTTTCCGACAGCCATGGAAGACAGGACGCTTCCCCAAATAGAAAGTCGTCCCACGCTTTGTCAGATTCCATGGTTCACTCACTACAAGAGCAACTGACAAAGTGACTAGTCTTGCGACATCCAAGTTCCCACAAAAGCAGGGGGAGGCCCCAACTTTCCGACGTCCTCTTGAATCAAGTCTTCTTCCGGTCTGACATGCTGAGATGTTCATGAACCTTTTGGGACCCTTTGGCGGTAACCTTTTGTGGATATATCCTCCTGCTTTGTGGTGGATACGACTCGGGGTGATGACTGACCAATTACTTGGGGCGGATATGACTGACCAATTATATTGGGGCGGATATGACTGACCAATTACGTGGGGCGGATATGACTGACCAATCACTTAGGGATATGACTGACCATTTACTTGGGGAATTACTTGGGGCGGATATGACTGACCGACTACTTGGGGCGGATATGACTGACCAATTACTTGGGGCAGATATGACTGACCAATCACTTGGGGCGGATATGACTGACCAATCACTTGGGGCGGATATGACTGACCAATTACTTGGGGCAGATATGACTGACCAATTACTTGGGGCGGATATGACTGACCAATCACTTGGGGCAGATATGACTGACCAATGACTTGGGGCGGATATGACTGATCAATCACTTGGGGATATGACTGACCAATTGCTTGGGTTGGATATGACCGACCAATTACTTGGAGTTGATATGACTTACTAGTCACTTGGGGCGGATATGACTGACCAATCACTTGGGGTGGATATGACTGACCAACCACTTGGGGTGGAAATGACATGACTGACCAATCACTTGGGGTGGACATGACTGACCAATCACTTGGGGTGGATATGACTGACCAATTACTTGGGGGATGTGATTAATCACTTGGGGCGGATATGACTGACCAATTACTTGGGGCGGATATGACTGACCAATTACTTGGGGCAGAGAGGACTGACCAATCACTTGGGGCGGATATGACTGACCAATCACTTGGGGCGGATATGACTGACCAATTACTTGGGGCAAATATGTCTGACCAATTACTTGGGGCGGACAGGACTGACCAAGCACTTGGGGCAGATATGACTGACCATTGACTTGGGGCGGATATGACTGACCAATCACTTGGGGATAGGACTGACCAATTACTTGGGTTGGATTTGACTGACCAATTACTTGGGGTGGATATGACTGACCAATCACTTGGGGCGGATATGACTGACCAATCACTTGGGGTGGAAATGAAATGACTGACCAATCACTTGGTGGATGTGACTGGCCAATCACTTGGGGTGGATATGACTGACCAATCACTTGGTGGATGTGACTGACCAATCACTTGGGGTGGATATTACTGACCAATCACGTGGGGTGGAAATGACTGACCAATCACTTGGGGTGGATATGACTGACCAATTACTTGGGGTGGATATGACTGACCAATCACTTCGGGTGGATATGACTGACCAACTACTTGGGGCAGATATGACTGACCAATGACTTGGGGCGGACATGACTGACCAATCACTTGGGGTGGATATTACTGACCAATTACTTGGGGCGGATATGACTGTTCAATTACTTGGGGCGGATATGACAGACCAATTACGTGGGGTGGATATGGCTGACCAACTACGTGCGGTGGATATGACTGACCAATCACTTGGGGTGGAAATGACAGACCAATCACTTGGGGTGGAAATGACAGACCAATTACTTGGGGTGAATATGACTGACCAATCACTTGGGGTGGATATGATTACTTGGGGTGGATATGACTGACCAATCACTTGGGGTGGAAATGAATTGACTGACCAATCACTTGGGGTGGATATGACTGACCAATCACTTGGCATGGATATGACTGACCAATCACTTGGTGGATGTGACTGACCAATCACTTGGGGTGGATATGACTGATCAATCACTTGGGGATATGACTGACCAATTGCTTGGGTTGGATATGACCGACCAATTACTTGGAGTTGATATGACTTACTAGTCACTTGGGGCGGATATGACTGACCAATCACTTGGGGTGGAAATGACAGACCAACCACTTGGGGTGGAAATGACAGACCTATCACTTGGGGTGGATATGACTGACCAATTGCTTGCGGCGGATATGACTGACTTGGTCAGTTGGGGTGGATATGATTGATATGACTGACCAATCACTTGGGGTGGATATGTCTTACCACCGAATTGTGTTGAGAAATCCATTTCGCAGCACACAAGAAACCCTGGGAGACCATTGTTTGTCGGAATGTGGCCATTTTTGGGATTCCATTTTTCGAGTCACAGCCAAACATGACGACTACGACAAATTGTTGTACTTTTCAGGTTTCCTCCGATTTGACCAATTACTTTGAGGTGGATATGACTGACCATCCATGAGTTACTTTTCAGGTTCCCTTGCCCCCGACGCCTTGCCCGACGCCTTGCCCGACGCCTTGCATCGGTTTCGGGGCAACGTCTCAGGTGAACCACGCCTGGTCCCTCAGCGAGGCCGACGTGAAGTTCCTGGACTTCTGGGACCTCTCCTGGGCACCGGCCTCAGAAGCTCGGGGCTCGACGTGGCGCAGGGTGCGAAAATCAGGGGGTTCGGAACCCCCCAAAACGGGCGGTTTTCCTGTAAACACCCAGAAGGGTGCCCTCAAAAAAACAAAGAGCAACATACATTGACAGAGCACCTTTGGCCTTTCTTGTCCACATGTGAAGGTTCACCAAACACGGACAGTTATGATGACCACAGATTTGCAACCCCGCTCATTCAAGACGGTCATTTTTCGGTCCCAGCTGCCAGCCAATACTACTTTTGCGCTTACAAGGTTTGGCAAAACATGGTTTTTGTTGGGACACATTTTACATTTGTGCTTTTTGTGGTTGAGTGGTTGAAATCCCCACTTAGCTGCTAAACGTCAACCAACGTCAACCAAGAAAGCAACGACACAAACTAATCATTTTTGGCATCAAGAACCCTCCTGACCAAGAGGGCCTTTTGCCTCCTCAAGTCCTTCTACCCCCTTATTTATTCCTGGCACTCTCCAGCATTGGGAGAAAAAGCTTAGTTTGATTTTACTTTCCTATTGCTATCCCATTGGCCAGACGGAGAGAGGACCGGACTGATAGGGGCTGCCAAGCACCCTCCAAAGTCCGGTTTCTCTAGGCCTTGTCAACCTTGAGGGGACGGAGGAGTTACCAGTCAGGGGCAAACATTCTTCAACACTGTCATGTTTAGTTGGCTGAGGTAGTCATACGGCGTGCCTGAAACCAATCGGAGTCAAAGAGACTGACCGGTCCCTTAGCACCAGGGTTTGCACGGCGTTAGGGCATGAGGCATGCGGGGAAGGGGATATATTCTACACAGTTGTCGGCTCAAGCACAAGCCATTTCGACGCCTGCTGATGGGAAACAGAGCCCAAATCACATTAATTATGGATACCAAACAGCGATTGCTAAGTTGCTGTATCACAAAACTAGTGCTGTGTCAGGGATCCTGCAGACAACAAATATCTTCAAAACTCGAAGTGAAGTCTTTGCGTTGGAGTGGGGAAGCCTTAAACTCAAAGCAATTAAAGGGTAGGTGTATGGATAAGGATGCGGAGTTCCCGTTGCATAGTCGTTGTGCAGTGAAATGTCCGCAGCTGCCGCTGCAAGCACCTTCAAGTAAGCAACAAGGATAAAACACCGCTGAACAAATCTGCCGTGCGGGTAAGAGTAGAAGATTCGCCTGCTCTGATGCGCACATTGTTGCTGAAGGTGAAGGCACAAGCTTCCAATCCTCAGCTGCACAAATATATCCCACAGGCTTCTTAAATGAATGATTCTACAGATCCCCACACATGTCAGTATTCTTCCTTCTCATTAGATTTAACGCGTGGTTATATATACACCTAGATAAGAAACAACACATCCTGTACAGCAATTTTAGCATATCCTCGACTGGGGTCATTATTCTGACGGTTTCTGGGGGTTATCAAAGTGAGAAAATGGGCAGTTTCCCTTTCATTCACCACTTGTGGGGTGACTTTGATGGTAAAATAATGAGGCCAGCTTGACTATCCACATCATGTACAGATCCCCCATTCCAGAAAGATGCATAGAGTGGGGGGGCCCCCCTTATGAGTGGGGGATATGTACAGCATATTTTAGGAGATCCTTGACCATCTCACAGCTTGATGATGAACTGCTATTGGGTTGGATCTTCAGACTTTGACAATTTTTGGTTGAAATACTGGCGTTTTCAAACCTCTAAACCCCCCAAAAAGTGAAAAGCTTTTGCAGGGGTCATTGCAACCAAGACAGGAAGCGCGGAAAAGTTTCGCCCAGGAGGAGTGGCAGGAGGGAGCGAAGAAGCGGCGCAGCAGTTCGGAGTGAGCCGCGAAGGAGCTGCCCCTGGTGTCATTTGGCTCGGGCCAGGAGTCCAGAAGAGGGCCAACAAAAGAGCCCTGAAAAATGTTGTTTTGACCTCCCCAAGGAAAACAACAAGTTTTGACCTCCCCCACAAGAAAAGCAACAAGTTTTGACCCCCAAGGAAAAGCACAATCTTACATTAGATTAGCTGTAGATGTATATCGTAAAGGAGCTGCTTGCAAATCGAGGTGGTTTTGATGTCGGCGTAGTTTTTCACTCACCCAAAACACACCGAAGTCAACTTGTTCTCATCGCCTGGGAGTTCCAAAATCGATATGCTCAAACACCGGTGTACTAGAGAGTGCACTAGAGAATGGCCATCATGCCAGTGCGAGACTCTTTACACTTTCCGATTTTCCCTATGCATGATTCTGTATTTCAGGATGGACCAAGGCATCCATTTGCCCTGCCCAGTACCCTCCCACCAACTCACATGGGTCTGTGCGTAAAAAGGCCCTTTCCAAGAGGGCAGTAGTCTTTCTACAGGGGTCTGTGCACGATCCCATGTTAGCTGGTTGGAGGGTGCAACATTCGATCCTCTCCATTCTCAATTCAGCTTGGGTCTCCTTGGAGGTGACGCCGGTCATTTGGCGGGTCAAAAAAGTGGACTCAAAATGGGTTGCCCTGGTAAGTGGAAACATGGACTCAACCCTGCGGTCCATTTCCTGGTGGCTTAATTTTGACCCATACCCATTTAGCTTTCAAGCTTTCAGGATCTCGGGTTGACCCTGGGCTGTCGCGCACGCTGCCGGGCCGGAGTTGCTGGAAGACCCAGCGAAGTGGCGGGAACACCAAGCGCATCTTGAAGGTCATTCAACTTGTTGGAGCAAAGTTCTATTCTACAGGGTTAGTCGTTGCAAAAGCTTGCCTTTTTTTCCCCCCTTTTTTTGTGATGTAAGGAACAAGGCAACTGCCAAACTCTATAAGTTTCTGGAGCTTTGGAGCTTGTTGCTCGAAGTATCTCGCAGGTCTTTGATGCACCGGTGCCGCGCACACGTGTCAACTTGCGGTCCTGTGTTCATGCATCAAACGGGGGCAAACCCGCCTGAAACAAACCAACTTAGAACTGCTGTTTCCACACATACATGCAAAGAAACGCACATACCTAAAAGGTGTTGTAGCCTGAGCAGATCCAAAGGAACAGCTGTTTGAGAGAAATACGGCGACATGCCAGGTCCATGACGGTGCCTTTTTGGCAGGACACACGGATGCTGTGTGTTTGTTACAACCAAAACAGATCATGTTTACTTAGTTTACTTCAATACATGGAAAGGTCGTTCCCCCCTCCTCGTCCTTCAGTGTGAGTGCAAACTTTCAGCACGCAAGTCCCAAAGGGACGCTCTGAAACCAGATGCCGCGCGCTCGACCAGCAAGAGAATGCAGTCCTCAGCCTGACGTGTGTCACTAGCTTGCTCCTCATCTCCAATATCTAGCGGATTACGCATGACGCAGTTTACGGATTAGATTGTGCGATTTGCGGAGTACAGATTCTGGGTTGCATTGAGTTGTCATGCTCCAGCATAAGCATAAGGTTTTGACTCACATTGTGTAGCGCAGATCACAGATTAAGTAACCAACCGGAACAAAGATTGAGCGGACTGAAATGTGAGTGGTCAGAGCAATTCAAAGAATCATAAAGGTTGCATCTAATAGAGTCAAAGTCAACACGACCCATGATCCGCATTGGCACTAGATAAGCTCTGATCCAACTTATGGCAACATGGACAATGTGGCACACCTTTGCCGGAGATTTCAACGATTCCACCGCAGAAGCCCTTTCTAGGATGGCTGGAAGGCCATATTGGAAGACTCTCCTGATTGCCACCGACACTCCCAAAACCATCAGAATTAGAGGAGTCTACTTTGTGGGAACGCCAAACGTGCATCCACGTGACCACTCACTCTTGCCGACGGCAGGTCGGAAGACTGTCTTTGGCTCACTTTTGTGCATCAAAGCAGGCTTCTGAAGGTGGGGAGCCCCCAAGTCCAGGTCTGACAAAGTTGCATTTCAGGATGTCTTGGGGCGCCAAACAATAGTTGTGTGTGTGTGTTTTGTGTGGTCTTGGTCTGCATCCCCTGGGGTCTTAGAGGCCGGCTTCATTGTTGCATATGTCTTATGTTACCAGAAACACCAGGGTCCAGTGTCGCTGTTGGCATTCGGCTCAAAGCTGGGGGAAGTATACAGATGCCCAAGTGCCGGGACCAACGCCGCGCGCAGAAGAATGTGGTTATTTTTTAGATAGCACTGGAGAATGACTCTTTGCCATGTGACCTTGCCCATGCAAGCGATCAGAATCGCATGTCCGATCTGCGGCTATACTCTGTTTTGGTGCTGGATGCTTTTGAGATGCCATGCACTTGCCATTTCAAAGTGTTGCTTCAGTCCTTCCCCGGACTGGCCATTTTTGCGGCCCGTCGCCTTCCAGATGGCCGAGGTGGGGTTTGGGACAAAGTTGGGACGAATCGAAAGGAAGACTGGCAGCTGGGCCCTTGAATAGTTGTCAGGGTGCGGCTTGGTGCCACGTCCAATCTGAGGCAAAAAATGTCATGTTGACGCACCCGGAGGAAGCCATCCATACCCGTTGGAGCACTCCTGTGCAAACATGCCAAACGCAGTGGGAGCCCAAACAAGGACGAAGCCGTTACATGGGGTTCTGTTTACGTACGTGTGGCGCTTCAATTGGTTGGTTTACTTTTGACTGCCTGTCAAGATTGAACACACAGCGGTACACTACTGTTTGCTGCAAGAAGAAGAGGATTTTGCCATGCATGCAGCTGTGAGTGCGGGCTCCCCGCCAGTGTTGCTAGTGTTGCTGACTGCTGCGTCCTCTTCTCTGACCCACCTGCCGCGGTGCGCTGTTGCTGACTGCATCTGCTGCGTGCCTCATCCTGCCTCGAAGTGGGCTGTTATTCAGCCCTCGTCGTCCTCAGGAGGTTTAGCTTTTTTGGTTTTCCCAGCCATGGTTAACCACTCCTCCATCCACCCCAGACCCTTTCTCCGGTTTGCTTCCTCACCTGTTTGCGGCCACAGGAAGCGCCTTGCCAACAAATCTGCTGGCTGGTTGCATGTCCACTCTTCTTCGCGACTGGTCGGGCAGGGGATATTGATCCCCTGCCGACTGCGCGCGCACTCTTCCGCTTTGTATGGCAGACGAGGCAATAAGTGCCACTTTCCTGGGCAGCATTCCTGCCTGCTGCTAGTCGCTTCTCATTGTACTCTTCAAGTCATGGTGTTTGCTACCAAGCATTGGCTGCGCTGTCATATATAGAGAACTGGCCTGCCTGCCTGCCTGCCTGCCTGCCTGCTTGCTTGCTTGCTTGCTTGCTTGCTTGCTTGCTTGCTTGCTTGCTTGTTTTCTTACTTGCAACTCGTTTGGAGGGCCCAGGGCTGCCCCATCACTGAATCCCCGGGCACCGACCAGACCGCCAAAGACGCTGGCGCAGAGCAGGCCGCTTTGCGAGTGGCAGAATGGGTTGGGATCCCTTGAGGTTACAGAAGAAGCGAGTCTCAGTCCTGGGAAACATGCTGCGGCGCGAGATCATGGGCAGAACATGACAAAACATATTCGCCACACACGGGGGAAGCCGCGACACGGTACCAAGTGTTGCCTGCTAACTTTGGAAAGACTCAGCTTGGCGAGGTTGTTGTGGCATGTTGTGGGATTAATGATTGATTTCGGTTCACACACACAAATGTGCTACCAGTACGGACCAAGACAGCTTCACTCGAATACTGAAGCTGACTGGATGAATTGAGCTTTGCGCCAGGCTGTAAGAATCTTGTAGTTGTACAGGCCGTGGTGTCTTCACTGGCTTCCAACGGTTTTTCCTCGTCGAATTTGCAGCAAGCTCCGCAGGTTGATGGCCTTGGCATTTTGAGTGACCGTTTGGCTTGTTGCTCGTCGCTTGCTCATGACCATGCAATCCGCATCACTGCAATTGTTGGACTACTTTGCCGCTTGACAGAGAGTGGCGTGAATTGGCTTGCACGATGGGATCGGGCACCTTTTGTTAGCATCCCATATCGACTCAATGTCCATGCTGTCGTCTGAAAGGAAAGCCGCCCCAGGCAAGCTGGAACAATTATCCACGTGCGAAGCCTCAAACTGGTTGACCTCGTTTGGCTGTCCCCTCAAACAAAACCAAGCCAAGGGTCACCTCAATCAGGACAGCCCAGCCATGGTTTGACCTTTATGCAGGCGCAGGCGGAGCCCGAGGCGGTGAAGCCCCCTGAGGACCCTGGTACATGAGGGTGACTCACCAATTCCCCTGGCCTTTTGGGGGAAGTCATCTGGCTGTGGGTCAAAACCGTTTTGGGATCCCATTTTGGGATAGGTGCACCACCCATTTTAGTCTATTTCAGTGGGGATTGGGATGTTCACTGGGGGTACGGGATTTTGAACCATGGCCATCTTAACCCTGCGCCTACCCCTTGAGGCCCATTGTTTGAGGCACCAATCAAAATTTGAAAATGGGTCTGCAACAAGCCACGAGAACATGCGTGTGGCATTGACACATACCCACATGGGGGTGCTTGATACAGATACGGACATACGCTGCAAGGACTGAAATATACTGAATTCCAGACCTTGGTGTAGCAACCCATCCTAGGTCCCCCAGTAGTGCTAGTGCCCTTTTACCCTTTTTGTTGGGGAGGATTCCCCTACTAAAATTGACTACAGAAAAAAAGGGTACCCTTAATCCAAACTCTCTACTGGAGGACCTAGGTTAGTCAGGTATCGTTGTTTGATGGTTGCCTATTAGACAGCGCACGGAGCTGGCTTCAGTGGTGTTCACTGGTGTTGTGTCGCAACATTGTCGGGATTTGTTGGGCGTTCTGGCTGCATCGGCAATTCGAGCACCCCTACAGCGACATAGCAACACATTCTGGCAAGTGTGTGTGTGTGTGTGCTTATGTGCGCGCTCGCGCGTGTGGTTGGGTGCGCGCGTGCTTGCGTCTCTGCGGTGTGTGTGTGTGTGTGTGTGTGTGTGTGGGTTATGCGTATGCGCTTTCTGTGCGTGTTTGCGTGTGTCTGTGTGTCTGCGTGTCTGCGTGTTTGCGTATCTGTGCGTCTGCGCTTCTCTGCATCTCTGCCTCTGTGCGTGTGCACGTCTGTGTGTGTGTGTCCATGCAGCTCAAACAACCCTTTCTTCCCACTTTCTCAACATGCTTCCTGTTCAACCTCTGTTGTTCTCACCTCAAGTCTTTGTCTCTGAACGAGCTCATTGGGACCAAGGCTTGGGGCGCTTGTTTCACTGTGGCATTTGCCAACCCATGGGCCAGTACATGCCAGTTCATATCCTGCAGAAACATGAATGCCTTCATTTGGCGTCGCGGCGATTGAACGCAGCTTGTTCGCAGTGCGCCTCATTGGGCCGAGTCGAGGAAAAGTCTTTGCCGCCCATTGTGCTGGGCCCAGTGGGTGGGAATTGGGGAGGAATCCCAAACTTGCGCTTGTTTCGTGCAGGAATATGAACCGACTTCTTGCAAGTAAATGGAGTGCAGTTAATGGTTTTCAAGAATATGAGAAGCTGCCATGGCCTATAGTTCATAGGGGAATGGATGCGAACCCAACATGTTGGATATCCTTTGAAAAAGCACAAAGACGAGCGTGTTTAATGCTTAGTTCACACTTCGCTTGGTACCATTCACAGGTGGATTGTTTGCTGTTGAAAGCAAACACTGCCACGGCAGAATATTATACCTTTCGGGATCTTTTAGGACCGCTGGCTAGTGTGCCCTACAGGGAAGACACGTGCCGTCCGGTGTTATTCAGTGGTGCAATTTATAGCATGTGTCTTGGCCTGAACGCATGAGTCTTGGTTCATGTTTGCAGCTTGGTCTTGCTGGAGGAAGCGTTTCCATCCGCGGCTTTGGCTTGAAGTCCACCGCACAAGTTGGTGGGATTGCTTGCACATCGATTTGCCCCTTGAACATCTCTCACGCGCTCATGTGGCGACCGTTCTCGCTGACACATACTCAACTGTTGGTTTGTTGCTTTCTTTCACGGAGCATACACTTGTGACTCATATATGGGTGTGGCTCAAAATTAAAGAACTAGGGAAACACAGGCCGCAGTCTTGGGTTCCACTTCCCAAGTGTCATGTTGGCACATTTTGAGGCACAGACATGTGACCTGCGCAGAAGTATTGAACATGTAGAGGTGGTTTTTCCGACAGATTGGCGCTTCTTTTCTTTGGGACTGGGACTGCCCAGGTGAGCCGCACTCAAAATCGATTCGGGCAGTCCCAGCCAGTAATCGTTGCGGATATTCGCCTTCATGATTCTTTACATGGTTCCGGGTAGACCGTTCTTGTACCGGGTTTTGAGCAAGTGACTCAAATGCCACAGGAGAAGGTTCTTGGGGGTGGGGTAAATCACCAGCTTTACCGGGTTTTGAGCAAGTGAGTTGTGACTCAGCTGGCTTCCCCTATTTCGCGTGCCAAGGAGTTGGCGCGCGGAGATGTAGCAGCCATCGACGGGCTCAAGGCTTGGAGCCGACACGTCGAGCCGAGCGTCAAGATACGAGGTCCAGATGGAAGTTCTCCAACTTCGCGGCACCTCATCGGGGTAGACTTAAGATACATTTTACATTTTACCAGTATACATTCTACTGGGCCTGACTCTAATCATGGCGCCTCATCGGGCTGTGATCCTTTTGCCATTTGTCTTGCAGGTGTGCGTGCCAGCTTGCTGGCTTCTTGCTTGGTTGGTTGGTTGGTTGGTTGGTTGGCTGGCTGGTTGGCTGGTTGGCTGGTTGCTTGGGAGGTTGCTCGGCTGCTTGGTTGGTCGGTCGGTCGGCGATTTCTTTGTTTGTTTGTGTGTTTGTTTGTCTGCCTGTTTGACTGCCTGCCCGCCTGTTCGTTTAATTGCTTGTTTGTTTGCATGATCGTTTGTTTGTCTAATTGTATGTTTGTCCGTCTGTCCGTCCGTCCATTTGTCTGCATGTCTTTCTGTTTGTGTGCCATGTGTCCATGGGTAAGTGTGAAGCTCGAACCTGGATTAGTTCACCCGCTGGACTAGGGAGGTGTTCCCACAAAGCAATATCTTCTCTTGCATGGGACTGACCCTATTCATCAGCCAGGGGTTTATTCATCCTGGGTGTTCAATAAATGTTGCGAGCACACAAAACGGAGTTGAACTGTCCGTTCTCGCTCCCATGTTCACGTTCCTCAATGACGGGATGATCAATTCGGCTAAGCCCATTTTTAACACCGCATCCTCAATCAAGGGCTATATGATTTGTTGGAGCAAGCTCTTTAGGCGTGCCAATGCTATTCGATCACATGGAGAGCAAGACCACTTTCAATCACTTGGCCTGATTGAGGGTTCTTCTTGCCACATAGTCAATTGCTTGACGAAGAAAGGTTGACGACAACACATGTCAGCCTCCCACCCTGTCAGTTTTGACTTGAGTCTGAGACGTGAAAGCTAGCAGTCGCATGACTGCTGCCATCTGGTGACATATTCCCTACATTGTTGTTCCACCGAAAGCCAACACACATTGACATGCCACATTTGATTCTTTGATTGCCTTGAGATTCAGAACGCATTGCATGTTATGCCAGTGCGCAGAACCGATGTGGTTGCCACCTGAGACGTTTCTCAATGATTTTTTCAAGTTTGTCTGTGTTATCTTTTTGTTTTATCTGAGCTTGCAGGAAGTCCAGCTTGCTATTTGGAGTTGTCACTTGGACATGGCTGATGCTGGAGTCCTGCAACTCTGAGTCCGTGCAAGACTTCTGAGTCTTTGCTTGGAAGGTAGTTGCTCGGCTTTGTCTTCTTTCATTGGCTTGAGAGTATGTTGTTTAGTTTTCCTTGTTGGTTTTCAATTGAATCTATCACTGCTGGAAAGATGATTATTATTTCCAGGAGGCTTAAGCAAATGGAAGTCTTCAAACGTGCTTCCCCATGCGGAAACTGCTCAACACAAGATGCTGATTCGCTCAATGCCAGCAAGCTGAGGTGTGCTTCTCTCGCGATGGGACCTTCAACCATTTGTGCTGTTTGGTTGCCACCCAAGTCCGAAGCATGGGGCCCTTGTCGAATAGTCTTGTTGCTGACCTACGCATCACATGGTTCGGGTGCCTGTGTTTACACCAAGGACACACCAGCAACAACAATGTGCTAGCAGAGAAGACCATATGCTTTACAGACCTTGCGTGAGTACTGTCTAGTAGTGTCACATATCAATCATGACGTATGAACAGCCAGTCTCATCTTGCCACAGTCAGCTTGCAGCTTTGCTCACCTTGCGCCGAAAGCATTGGAGATGGCGGGGGCAGTCGTCCATCCATGAACTTCAGGCTGGGGAGCTGAACGGCCAGACATGCACGTGGCCGTCTCAGAGTAAAAGGCGTCTTGTGCCACGAGATAGCAGAAAGCTGATTGATGCCAACTGTCCGATCCCTTCCATCGTTTTGTTTTACATGATGGCTCCTGGGCAATATGTTTTGACAGGCTACAGGGCGACGGAAACCCCAACGCAATCTGAACTGCACAGTTGGGCGTCCCTTGCATGGTAGCTCATACGGTGCTCGTGACACGATTGAATCAAAGAAGTCCGTTCGTTTGTCTGCAAAGGTTTGCATTTGTTTTCACGGTGTCGATAGTTTCAGCGTCGCAAGACCTTTTGGAACAGGCGAACTGCGCTCTGGAACTGTAACCCATATCTTGCATCATGCCCGTTAAAGCTCTCAACAAGGACATGTTTTGCATCAATGCTAGGAACAGTCTTGGGTCAGGACAGCTCACCTGTGCTCACGCGATCTCACGACGTGAGTGAAAAGGGTTTGAACAAGTTCAATGGACAGAGCTGCAGCTGCAGCTATTCTTGCGATTCTCAAGCTACTATATGGCTGTGGTTGTCAAAACCGTTTTGGGATCCCATTTTGGGGTAGGTGAATTCACCACCCAATTTAGAACCAATTTTAGTGGTTGGATTGAATCAGATGTTCACTGGGGGTACGCAGGCCTGTCCCGCGACGGCATGTCACGCGAGCATGCGCGAGCCCAAGGCTCTGGCGCCGGGATGAAGGCTCGGGACGATGGGAGGTGAAGCTGCCAGATGGCGAGGCGCGGGTTTTCTCGGGGCGAATGGACGGTGACTTGTCCATTCAGGTTACGTTCCGTTGCCCAGTGGTGCTCTTGTTTCCTCTTTTTTGGGGGGTAAGGGGAACCCTTGAAACTCAACCAACAAAAGAAGGGTGCCCTTTTTTGCCCATGGCCACTGGGCATCTGAGAGTTTGGTTACGCATAAATACTCATACTCACTCTGGTGTTCAGGTTGGTTCTAGAAAAACCAGGGCCCTCTACTTTCTCAACAAAATACTTGGGCTTGGTGATCGTCCTTGTTGAGTGGGTCTTAGACCAGAGCCCAGCGCTCCATTGTTCAGCCGCCCTTGTGTTTTTTGCTCGGCCAGTTCCCCACCAGGTCTAGCAACAAACTCAGGGCATTGCTTCGAAGGAAACCAAGCATTGCTCCCAGGAATCGCCCAGGCTGCTTTGGACAAGCTCCCAACTTGGCTTTGTCAGAGGTATGGTCCAATGAGCGGTGCAGCACTCCTCCCAACAGCGCTTGCACGAGACACAAGCGCAGTCAAGAAGGGTCTTTGGAGATTGTGTGAATACACATAATCGGGACATTCTTCGACGAACATCATGATAGTGTACCTTTAGAATGCCCTGCATGAAGAGCTGTCATGTTGGGATTGCCTAGGGTCCCTCGACTAAATGTGTTCGCATCGGGCGAACCAAGTCTGTACTGTCGTTCTTCCGAGTATGTTGCCTTGATCAGCGAGCAGCTGGAAGTTTGCAGGGGGCTTCAGCCTGGTCGAGGGTTGCTTACTCATTCCGGTCAGAGCTACCATACAAATTTAATCATGGTTTGTAGTTACGCTTTTTGTTGCTATAAAGCGTGAATATCAGCCTGGACAGTGTGAAACTACATTTGGGTGCTTGCCGAAGCTGCATTGTGCCAATCTTTGCCAAGGGGGATGGCAGTGCCAACGACGGCTGTCGCTAGCTGCAATTGATGGTTTTGTGATAGGCAAAGGAGTTGAGTTGTCACCTATTCCGAAGCAGTGCTTGCGGTTTACGAAACGTTGTTGGCTTCAGTTGTGCTGGACTTTCTATGTGTGGTGTGCTTACGTCAACCTGGTCAATGCTTCCAGCGAGGGTGCACCCAAAGAAAGTTCAGTGGCCTTGGACCCCACAACACACTTTAGAGACCACATCAAACATGTTTCCCGGCGCTCAACTCCGCAAGACATGCTTGGCTTCGGATTGTGCAGGTCAAGGCATTAAAGCCTGCCCATCTGGTCTTCAGAAGCATAGGCCGGCGGCCTAGTCCTTGGCCCTCTGGTTGTATAGCTATTTGTTGCCCCACAGGTGTTAGGTGATGCACTCTTGTGAAAGTTCCACTGACGGGACTCGAGATGGGCGCTTAATGCAGACCACTGTGGTAAGACTGAGCAGGTGGCAAGGTGTGTTGCCTTCTTGCAATGGAGACGATCGTCATGCCCATTTCCGGAAAGAGCTAACGAGATCGGTAGCCTTTTCAGAGCAAAGTTGGGTGAGAGGTGATGCTTTTGTCTACGCCGGCTCCCCTAACATGAGGCGATATTGAGCCAAATTAAGCAGTTCACGACTCATGAATCATAGCAACCAAACCAGGCTCCACTCAGGAAACTTTGTCCATATTCCTAGCTTGGGAAATTGCACACATCTCTCTTGCTTGAGACCAGACAAGGCATGGCAGGCAGGAGGACTGGACTTGTGGGCAGTGCGTTAGTGTATATATATATATACGCAGCAAGCTGACACCAGTCATGATCGCAGAGGCTCCGGGTAGCATGAAGCCACGTTTAAAACTGGTAGCCCCGAAATCTGCTTGTTTTTTCATATTTAAACATCCGATCATCAAGCAAGCAAGACTGACCTGACGGTCGATGGCCGCAGGCAAAGAGCCATGACCCTCTGGTTGGCATCGTTTCGTGCGCTGATGCGTCATATGCAGTCATCCTTGGTCAACGAGTTTGGGCCATACATCAACACGTGGCTACTTTTGCTGAATACTCTCATGCTTGGCCATGTTTGGGGTCCTCACTTTGAAAAGGACAAAGAAAGCAACAACAGCATGAACAACAACGGCAGGAACCGGGTGCAAAGGGACTGCCTTTGCATTAGGCTCGAAGGAATACCACCAGAAACAAGCAACCAGATTCCAGAAACTTCAACCATGCTGCGGTTTCCTTTGTGATGCTGAGTTGTTTTCTGGAACCGGCAGTCAAGCTTTCTGGTCAAAGTCTGCAAGGTCCCATCGAGGACGACGGATCGCTGACCTTGATCGGCATGGCCAGCGATCATCAAACCATCCACCGGGTGTCGCTTGGTTGCTTGAAAGATGGGCTCCGGAGTCGTGTGCACGAATCAGGTGTGTCAATTGCCATGACCAGTTCCATTCTGTATGTTTATGCATTTATTTGTAATAATGTGCTGCACCAGGTCTGTTTTATTTGCGTTACAGCCTACCATGCCAATACCCGGATTCAGATGTTTACACTTGATGCCCAGTACGCTTCAAAGGCGAAACCACATTGTAAGCAACCTGGTTGTAAAGGAAAGGTCACATAGCAAGAACCTTGCAAGTGGCAACTGAATAAACAAAGCTAATCCAAGATCAACTGCGATTTATCTTGGAATGAAGGAAGTGTTCTTGGTGGCTGTCACGCCCGTTCCCAAGATTGCATGTTGGGGCCATTTGTGGCCTTTTGCCCACTGCCTGAACGCGAACTCGCTGGCTTCTTTGGAACTTGTGGCATATCATTCAGTTGCATAATGTTGACGCTGCATGAGTCAGGCAAGTTGCCGAAGTCTGTGGGTGCGTTTTCTCCAGCGTGATGTCTTGTAAGAAGGGACCCAATATGAATGAAGCAAGGAGTTGTTTAATCCTTGCTTCCCTTTCGCCTGTCAGTGACAGAAGCAGAGTGGCATACTAATTAGGAAAGCAAGTAATCATGTGCACCGACAAAGATAGATCATCAAGCGCTTTCCGGTCCCGAGCACCTTAACAAATCATCATTGCGGGCCTGGCATTCTGTTGCCCAGTAACTTCCCAGGTGAGTGGCGGGACTATACTTGACTCGCTGACTGGCAGTTTGTTCATCCAGCCATGGTATGAGTGTTGACAGCAGTTGAATACGCTTTGGAGTATATTGTCGTGGGCAGTTCAAGCGCGCAATGTTGGCATAGTGCATTGGAGAGAGCCATCTTCCTGCAAGCTCAGTTGCCTCGACATTCTCGAAAGCATCAGCTTCAAACGTGAATCCAGTGGCTGCGTCTGCTAGTGGCAGTGGTAGTATTTGTTTGCGCCGTGGTGCTTTCCGTGTGGAACATTTGTTTTGTCAAGCTAGCAACGAATGAAGCATCCCGTGTTCCCGTTTTGCAACGAAGACGGAGGCTCCTCCCCGGCTGTAGGTTGGGCAACGTGCGGGACTTGATCCGAGGAGGTGCGGGGGAACGTCACGTTGAGCCTTTGACTTGTCTTGGGCTCAGGTTGGTTAATTTGATTGAGGAACATAGGGGGTCACAACCCTCGAATTTCTTGTTGTGGTTTGAACCGCGTTTGTTGTGCATTCAATGGTTTTTACACCCACCGGAATGGCTGCTAGGCCAAAATGAAACCAGGCATATTTGACTGTACAAATTGCTGCGGGGATTGGCGGGCAGCCAGCAATTTGTTCTCCTTTGAGCAGTTTCAGAGAAGTTGGAGGTCTGTCCTTGCAACGGAATGCGTGCGGACCAGGACGTAATTGTGGCCAGACGTGTCCCTCAATTTTGAGCTCGCATGTGCCATCAAGACGGCTTTATTTGATGGCTCTTTCCAAACAAGCGCGTGTCGTCACAACTTGGCAATCTGAAGAACGTCGCCCGACCGGGTGTGGTTAACTGGATTCGCCCAACCAACTTGTTAAGTTTTTTCAGCTTGAATGGTTCTTGTGTTGTATTATCAGGTGGCTAAGTAGTAGTTCAGATGTGGGATATGCTGGGATTCATTGCGGCATAGTTGCAGTCACGAACTTACTGGAATCTTCATTGACAGCATCCATGAGGTTTAGCATTCAGTTATCCAAGTCTTGTTTAGAAGGACGGGGAATATTGTGTGTGTTCTGTGTTTGTTCCAGCCGTCAGCAACAGCATCCAGGAGACAACAAGCTGGCCATTGTTTATGGCAGGGCAAGCTGCGACCATCCTTCAATTTCCCTTTTTTTGGAGCTCCAACATTGGCAGTTGTGGAAGTCACCAATGAGTTGCCATGTCTAGTTAGAGTCAAGTGCATGTTGATCCATTTCGGAGGTCAACATCACCTGCTAGTTGATGCAATTCGGAGGGACATGGTGTCAACGAGCTTACAACTCAGTTGCCCAAAGCCGACCTTTTCACCTTTTGGTTTCTCCTCGGCCTAGTTTTAGTCATGGCCCCAGAGGGTTAACCTTTTATTTCTGGGTTCTTTGGGCAAGTGAGACAAAGCTCCAGAAGCCCAGAGCCTTGTTCGCCAGCCACCGATAGGCAGCGAGGCCTTGGCACTGGGCAGCTCGGTGGTGTCGCCCATGGGCGGCCGGAATGCGCAGGGGGAAGAGGCGAGGGAAGGGCGCTTGAAGGGGAAGCCATAGGATGATTTGCTTGAGAGTATCATACTAGATCTGCTTGGTGGCTTTTTCAGGCAACCCTACCGTTGTCACGGCCGTTTTTGTGCAGCAACGAGTAGAAACGTTCCCTTTGACCTTCATAATTGGATGAGATCGCATTGGATACATTTCAGCTTGCATAGAGAAACACTCAACACAGTCTGGGGTCGCGAAGCCTGTTGGCCTGTTGGCCGTTTGGCTCTCGGTTTCGAAGTTGTTTCGTTCGAGGCTCGCATTTGGCTGAAGCTTGCCAAGCAAGCTGAGCAGCGGGTCAAGGGCTCACTGGAAGAGCTGCAGAAGAATGTGGTGCGGGGCGGGCGGGCGGGCGTCACCGGAGGCATCCCAGTTTGGTACATCCGCGTTGGTGGATTTCAGTCATGGACTCATGGACGGTGTTGGCTGCTTAGGCCCGCAGACTGTGTGCAGAAGACACACAATTTGTGAAAACTTTGGAAGCTGCAAGAAGTTACAGCCGTGCAAGTGCCAGCGGAACCACGCTGCAATTGCAAATACGTCTTCTAATTTGGTTACCTCTGGTTGATGATCGCTTGGTTCCGCATTTAGTGTTTTGTTCAGTTCATCCAAATAATATTGATGGCTAGCACGGGCTGTGATTCTGCGCCAGGTCTTCGTTTGTGCTACAGATATAGGGTGTGACTTTGGGCAGACCGTTACGCGCAATCATACTGCCACACCGCTGTGCCTTTTACAGCGAAGCCTGCTATGGACAGCTATTTGCCTGTTGAGGTGGTGAACCGGAAACCTTACAAGTTAAATGAAACATGACGGCCGCTTTTGCAATGACTACATTAGGTCAGATAGATACCGGCAGGGTCTGAATGGTTGACTGATTTGAACGCACAGTTCAGGCTTGCGACATGTTTGTTGGCCAGCGTGTCAGCAGCAGATCTTGTCCAAGAAATCAGGGAAGGGCAGGGCCAATGACTGAAGGAATAGTAGCTCAGTTTGGGCGGAAGTAACTATGTGCCCGAATATGGAGTTACATTTCCCTTATATACCCTGTGCAAACAACATTGTATGTTGGTACTGTGCTTGAAACACTGGAGACGACTTAGTTGAATTTTGGCATGCCGCCCATGATTCACTGGGGCCACTCCCCAGAAATTGAACACACCTTTCGCACACTGGCCAAGGCTACTTACCGTTTGGATCAATTGTTTGTCCCTAGCGTCCCTCTCTTAGGGGGGTGGCCATGTTCAACTTGCACAAATGTCGGGTTCAACGCAACATCTTGCTTGCCCTTAGCAGGGAGTATGGAAACAGCATGGAATGCCCCCAGGCGTGCCAGCCATGCGGGTTCGCTCATGGTTGGGAATGCTTGCCAGACTCCTCACCCCTACCAATTGAGATGCAACCACAAAAAGGGTCTCCCAAAAGGAACATCCTCTACAAATGATGGTTTTGCGAGTTCCGTGTGAATCAGGGGTGAACAAATATCCTTAATTCACATGCCAGATGGTAATGGCTCCCCTTTGGTGTCCTACGAATTGCGGAGAATGATGGACTCCCCTCGTGTGAACCACCCAGATCTGGGAGCGTTCGCCAGGAGCAGGTCGATGGCATCGATGCCTCCCGCTATGGGCCCAAGGCCGCTGCAGAGATCCGCCTGGCGCGGAAGGACTTGGTGCAGTTCGTGCAGAAGGCTTGGCGGGATCCACGGCAGTGGCTTAGCGGTTTTGTGTGTTCTGTTGGACCAGTGAGTCAACACCGAAAGGTTAAAGTTGTCCACGAAAGGGACTGGGGTTGCAACAGTGGTCGCTTTTACGGTGGTTTCCCGGAGATTCATGGAGTGGGACTGGCCAACCCGCTATCAAGGGGTCGGAGGGTGGGTATTCTTGGGAAAATCGTCTGAACAATCAGGCGATAAAGCCAGTCAACGGGTGTTGCTCGAGCAATGATGGTTAAACGGAGAAAGTTCAGCTGCTCCAGAGCACTCATTTCTGTGGGAGTCTCGCGACAAGGCGCAAGAACAGCTCGAGACGGGCCACCAGCGGCTGCGCATCGTTCTGAAGCACCTAGCGCCTTGGTCAACGTCGCTTCGTGAGGGAAGCTTGCTGAGATGCTGCCTGGTATAGGTGAAGTTGAGGCTTGCATGGTCCAAACACGGCCTAGGGTGAGTGGGTGAGTCTGGTGTCACCAGTTGTGTTGCAACCAATGTGCGATGTGTGGCACTCTTCCTTGTGCGAGTTGATTGATGCATTGTTTCATGGGACAGAAACGCATAGTCGCATGTGGCGAAGGTTGCACAGCATTGCACACCACGAGGAACATGCCTTAAGATGATGTGGCATCTCAAGTATACAGAGTCTTTGGTCCATTTGAAGTTTGTACCTCAGAAAAGAGTGGCGGCATTTTGGACGAGGACCAAAGTCTTGACACACTGCGGGGTGCTTTCAATTGCGCAACGTTGTCTGGAATATACACGGGATTATGTGAAGGAGAGAACATCGTTGGACCCCACTTCTTCTCGGGCAGTCAGGGTTGCGCGCACCCTTACGACAATGATCAAACCACAAGGGCGGAAACTCCGCTTTGGGCCTTTTTGTTGCCTTTTCTATCCTTTTCTCTTGCCTTCGAAATTCGTTTGGGGGCCAAATTTCTAGTGTCACCTGGTTCGACGGGGCCACGAGGTCGCTACGGTGCCGCCTTTGCCCAAGCACATGGCGGAGGAGGAGTCGCTGCACGAGAAGTACCGCGCAGCCTTCGAGAAACTGGAGGCCCAGCGCGCCGGGGGACTGGTCACCTCTGTCGCAACCAGCGGATCTCGACCGTGTTTTCCACTTGTGTTTGGTCAGGATTCCGATTTCTTTAAACTCAAGCAACAACATAATGGTGATGATTCTGTTTCTCCCATGGCCACTGGGCATCTGAGTGTCCATTGTGAGTTTCTTAGAAACTGCAGGGCTTTGGATATGGATGGCTGGGTTATCTAGCATTTTTTCCAGGCCCCCTATTTGACGCTCAGGAGATTCGTCCAGCTTTTGTGTTCGCGAGTTTGCGAGCGGACAAAGACTTTCGAGGAGGCAAGATGTCGAAGGGAAAAGAGCTCAGGGTGTGCCTTTTTGTTGGGAGATCTGATTGGCTACCGGGCACATGAAGTTCCACCGCGAAAGAAAGGCAATGAGGATCGGCAGGAGCGAAGCGCAGCTGCCTTTTCCATACGCAGCCATGGGCAGAGTAGCGCGGCGCTAGTGAAGCATTGTCCCACCCTAGTTCCGGGCCATATGGCCACGTACATGCACCATGTTTACGCGATATTTGTACGTAAGCTTTCCGCAGGGCTCAGGTTATGGTAGGCAGGATTCCACATGCTGCGCAGAGCCTTCTGGTCTCGACGTGGGTGTTGGCGTGGATGTGGCGGCACTTGATTGAGGGGCAGTGCCCCTTCAGGCAATCATGATCAGTTCGGAAGGATGCCGTTCTCGCTGCTGGTCTCTCAGCAGCATTTGCATCTGAAAGATTCTGAAAGTTCTGACCCAGGAGGTGGTTGTTGCTCTGCTGGCGTCCTCAAGGTTCGCCTCCGGTCTGCGCGACCGCATCAGTCACGGCAGCGGGTTTCCAGCCAGAGCCCCGCAGCATCATCAGAATGGTCAGGATGCAGTAATCCAGGAGGTCGTAGTGACGGCTGTGTGCAGCGCCAACTTGCATGTTCCATTGGCGCTCAGTATTTGACTTTCGCTTTGCAGTGGTGAAGCTGGGCTCCGAGGTGAGCTTCAGGCGGTGATGCCGTAGGCGATTTGCCATGTAGCCAGCCTGGTCTGGCCGTGGTCGTACTGCAGCTCGGAGCCTTTTTTAGCGTAGACCGCCACCGAAAGGTTGCAGTCGTTCTTTCTTACCCAGCTGCGCGTGCACGCCGCCTGTCAACAGCTTGGCCAGCGGCCTGGGCTTCGGCAGCTAGACAGTGGCGCACGCAGGGTAGCTTGTAGGAACGCCAGTCCAACCCAGCTTGGTGCCGTTGAAGCAGGCTTCAGTGACCACCCTGCCACTCTGCGAGCCGCTGAAAGCTGCACCTGAAGGTCGCGAAGAACAGCTCTGCGACATGGCCAGACTCCCCTAGCCATGTCACTGAGCACATCTCCTGCATGAGGTAAGGCACTGGCGTTTGTGGCCGTGCGGTGGCCTAGGTCGGCAAGGACAAGGTCGTTGAAGCCTGGCGTGGCCAAGACCACCCACGAGGTCAAAAGGTCATCTTCGAAGTCGCAATCGCCGCTCAACCTCAGAGGGAATGCCTACTGGCAAGATTGGATGACTACTTGCAAGCAGTGGGTTCAAGTACGCGAGGTGGCTACATCAACGTTACTTGGCTTCCTCCCGGCTACTGGCCATGGCTACTGCTATGAGCCAAGGCGATGCTCCGCATGTCCGACCCCTTCAACCAACGTCAATGATGCGGCGCAAGCCGACATCATGCGGTTGAAGCTGTCGCCGACTTGGTCTGCGCTACGCGGGACATGGTCACGCGTCTGATTCGCAGAGGAGAGGAGACCTGGGCTCGGAGCGACGGCGTCAGCTTCGCCGAACCAATGCTCTGCGTGCCCCAAACCAATGCTTTGCGCTCCTGGCTCGCCAGCCTCAGCCAAACTGGCGACTTTGATCGTGTCCTTTTCGCTGCATGCAGCTCTGATCCGCGGAGCGGGCGCAAAGCCCCTTCACCGCGACGCCGGCCACAACAAGATTCTGCAACTGCCGCGATGCCCGAGCCTTTGACCCCATCAGTTAATTGAGGAGGGCGAGTATAGTGTCTACTGGTTGGTCCACAAATCTGCTTCGTAGACGAAGTCACACTGGGTGTTCAACCACCTTCCAAGCGTTCTAGTGCCAGGGGGTTGCTAAAAAGAGGGTGATCCTGTTGAGCCACCCCAGAAAACGCTCCTTTGCACGTAATTTCGAGAGGTGCGGGAGCAAGGGGATCCAAGCTTGGGTAATCTTACTGCAAGCAGGGGGGTTCCAGGCAGTACTGTAATTCCGCGCTGGGTCCGATGACTGACGGGCATGGCTGGCCCAATGTGTGATGGAATAGGCTGCAACGGTATTTTTGCACCAATAGTCTTAGCATCACTTGGCATTCCTACGGTATCTAAGAAGATTGGGGTCATGCAAACATCCAGTGATCAAAGCAAAGTGCATGACATACTCAGATGGCCAGTAAGCCAGCGGGCAAGACATTTGCAGATTCCGGAAATACGAGTACTAGCCTTGCCTTTCTGACGGTTTATAGTGTATTTTGTCCTTGGCTATGTAAACTTTGGGGGGGTTGATGCAGTTCAGAGAGCTGGAATCACCGTCTCTATGTGGATGTGGCAAGTCCGCAAAGGAACTCACGATTGGTACTCATGAAGCTGGAGCAGAACAAGTCCTGTCCGCAGGGGAAGCAAGGGGTCCCACCAAGGTGAAATTGAGTATCTCAGCAGTCCACACATTGAGGTCCCAACTGAACCATGACTCTCTTGGGCGGGTGCAAAGACCAACCGGATGCCCAGGAGGCTGCGGCCATGGATATCAAGAGCACCATCAAGAAGACCGAACTCGGTCCCATCACGGTCAAATTTCAGGGCAGAGGCGCACGCCACATTGCACTCGCAGAGGGGAGGCCTCGTGCGCGTGCAAATGTTTCACGATGCCCTGGCGCCCCAAACCAGCATTTTCCATTTGAGAAAGTGGTGCTACGTGGTTTGATAGGGTGTTATAGCAAGGCCTTTTCTATTGTCTACCTGGTTTGGCAACATACTGCATGCCTTTTGGGAAGAGGTTCGTCCTGCACACTGTCTTTGATACATTCTCCCTTGACATGGCACTTGTTGTCCATTTCACATTGCAAAGTTCTTGTAAAAACGAGGGGTCTCCGATATGATTTTATAGTTTGAGGTTGACTCGACATGAAATAGAATCCTCACATGGCAAATTGTTATTGAGTCAGGGGTTGGGGGAAGAAACAAAACAGGAAAAAGAACAAACAAATGGAAACACACACAGATCCCATCAGGTTTGTCGTCTTGGCCTGCCGGCAGGTGAGAACCCTCCGCCCTCCGACAACCTCTACGTGAAAGGACTGCCAGGCACTGGCGTTGTCGTGAGAACGAACGGGTCACTTTGATGTGTCAGCTGTCGGCTGAGCTTTGAGAGGCTCGCCTTTTGTGTATTATATGGCTATGATTTTTGAGTAGTTGGACCCTTTGGTGGACATCAAAATTCGGTGCGGATTCATGTCCACCAACCACTTTGAAGGTGGTTCCCCATTAAGATTCATTGCCATATTAATGTTGCAGTGCAGACCTGTGTTCAGCGATGGTGTGGAACACTCATCAATTCCATTTCGAACTGTTTGTACCTGATGACATGATGAGACAAACAGGAGAAGGTGCATGCCGATTGCGAAGCCATCTCAGGACGCCCATGAGTTTGATTGCGCAGCGGATTTGCAAGCAATTGATTGATCTGATCACTCAGTTGGAACGTGTCCAGGAAGCCAAATTGTTGATGTCCGGAGGCCAACGGAAAATGATAGATATTTATATATAGATATTATAACATGTTTTTGTTGCTGCTTGTCAAGTTGCTTCCCATCCATATTGAATTCCGGAGTTCGGTTGCTTCAAAGGGGTTTTTCCAAGCGTGCTTTTGCACCCGAGCTGACCGTACTCCCCTATTGATGTGCTCTCTGTTGTCATCTCAAACAGAGTAGGTCGTTTCGGCCTCCAGGGTCTTCACATCAACTGGTGCAGAGGAGACTTCTGGCTATGTTCAGTGTGCCCGTGAGTCCGCGCAGGCTGGATCAGCGAGCAGGATTTGGAGGCAATCTTCTCAGAGGTGGGTGACATCCAGCGCCTCGACTCGCAAGTTGCATCGCTGAGGCAAGGTCTTTGCTAGACAAGAGAGCCAGTTTCAGGTGTTCAGTTCAGCGAACCTTGCTTTGGAATGGTTTTCACCTATCCTCAGTTTGTTGACCGGAAATTCTTGGACTTCCGCACGTTGGTCCTGGTGGGTGGGTGGGTGTTTTTATTTTTCTACATGTGTGTAGATGACATGTTACAGATGACATGTTCTAGCCCATCTCCATGTTAAGTGTGTGTCTACGACACTGCAAATTCCAAAAAAGGTTTCGGATGCAAATTCCACGGATCAGCTGTTCGGTTGTAGCACCTGGGTCCTGTTGCTTTGAACGTTTCAAAGTCGCAAAGCCCCGGCTCAGGAGCATGAAGTTGAAATCCGCCGACTGGGGCGCCATCGCCTTTGTGAGGCGGGGCTCTCAGGGCCCCCGAGGTAGATCCAGGGATGGGCCAAAGTTTTGTTGCTTTTGTTTTGGGGCGGGGGGGGGGGGGTTGGTTTGTTTTTGTAGTTTGGCTTTGTTGTGGGGGGGCAGGGGGTTGGGATATGTTTCAACGTTTCTTGGTTAAACAGACTGCCTTTGTCGGTGAGGACCCTTCCCCAGAAACTGTCCTGTGATTGTCAAGGTTTCCAGAACCCCAAAAAGGGTCATGGTACCTCTCCGCTATTCAAATTGGGCGACCCCTGGCACAGGGCCCTTGACAACCACGGGAATATTACTGGTTTATATCAACAGTTAAGCAAATTCATTTTTCCAAGCAAGCCTAAACTTAATTTAAGGAATTTACTAAGTAATATTTGGATTTATTGTAGCTCAATGACATATCCAACAGTAGACTGCTTGAGATCGCAGTGGTTGGACCCCCGCCCCGGAAGTTTAGGCGTTTGACCTGGGAGACTCTGCCTGCTCAACCTCCAGAGATGCGAACTGTTTTGTTTTTGCTTGTCCTTTTTCATAGAACCTAGCTACAGGGAAAGTATACAAGTAAGACGTTGGCGAAATTCCCGGGCAAAGCCAGCCCTGTCAATAGTCCACCAGCTACATGTGCAGCCCGTTCGCTGCATATCTTCCGCCCATCTGTACTGCTGGGTTGTAGTGGCAACCTGGCATCACATGTGATGTGCTTGAGATGCAAGTATATAATTTTCACTCGCACATTGCTCAAATCAGAAGTCAGGATTAGCTTATTGATCGATTCTTGTTTGAACAAGTCATGTTACATTTGTGCTATGGTCAAAATACTCGTTTCCCTTAGAGGAAAATTAGTGAGTGTCCTAAATGTTGTCAGGAAATTTAGAGCTCCCTTGCTGCTCCCAAATGGACCATAGACAGGAAGCATGTTGACCAAACACGACATGTCACGTCCGCGCATGGGTTTCCTGTCGAGGCTGGCCAACAAGGGCCAAGCGCAGCGCGCCATTGAGACTTACAACGGCATCGTACCTCCCGAGCTGGAGAGGCGCTTCGGAGATGAGAAGAGTCGCAGTGGGTGATGTTGACCCCATGACTTGATGCTAGGTTCCTCAGCTAGGTGCCCTTTTACCTTGATTTTTTTTTTCGGCAAACAAAAACCTACTACAATAGTTTTCCTTTTGAGTGTCCTTTAAAACCACAAAAGCGCTACAAAAAAGAGACACCCCTACTCTGGATGGACAAAATCCATTTCGCACCACCTAAGAATCCTGAAACGATGATTCCCCTGCAAAAGCCAGCAAACAATGGGTTTCAACCGTGGTTTCGACGAAATCCTGCACCACTTGTACAAGGCAATCATGGTTCCAGGGTTTCTTAGGTGGTGCGAAACGGATTTCGCAACCATCCACAGTATCCACCCCGGCAAGGGGATTGACCGACTCCACAGGAAGGCAGAGGAGGTGGACGCCAAGAGGCTGACCGCTGAGATCACCAAGGCGGGATTCCCGTGGTCGCCGAGTCCCCAAGGAGTTTCCCCTGATGATGGCTTTTTGGCGGCGCATGTGAATCTGGGGAGTACATGGGTGTTTTTTGGCTAAAATGGGCGACGCCCTCAAAAAGGAATCCTTCACTAAGAGGGGGTCGATCAATTTTCCACAAAAGGTTGCAACAAGACCCTGGGGGAGTTGTTTGCCACTCAAGAACCTTTTGTCCTTCTTTTTGGCGGGTTACCTACCTCATGTCATACCAAACTTCGGAGTAAACGGGCCACGAGCATTCTGGAGCATCCTAAGACAGCCAATGTATCTACATGCATGTTTGATTTAACCGTGGCATAGACGACATGGCCAGCCTGGTTTTCATGGCCACCGGGAGCGTTGACAGTAGATGGTGCGTCCATGAAACCGACGAGGTGCGGCTGGATGCTTGCTGCTCTTGCTGTTTTGTGACAGTCCTAGTTTTGCATGCCTAGCGAGGCTTTTTGCTTCTTCTCTTGCCACCCCCCTCCGCAGTTTTCTTCGGGTAGCTTACACAAGGCTTGGCTTGAATTTGGAGATCAAATCCCAGAAAGGCTCTATCAGGGGTGCTGCTGCAGGTCTATCCACCGCCCCTTTCATCAAGCAGGATGTTTACTCTAGCGACGCGCGTTTGCAAACCGTGGGGATCCGCTGATTCCAGAACGGCCTTTCTGCCTTTACCTACAACACTTAAGTATACTGGATGGATACGGTATACAGAGCAATATCGCGCGCGCGCATCACAGCAGACCTGCGCACCGTAGGCGGGAATATCAGCAACAGCTATTCACATTTGCGGAAGGTACAATGAGCGGCTTCAGCCCAATCGCCCTGAGCCACAAAGGGCATTGTGCTCATGCACACTGTTGGATACCATCGTGCGCACTTTGTTCTTTTGGTTGTCGAGTGCGCTTTGTCAATTTGTGTTTCTGATGTAGCATGTGGCCAGAATTTCCCAGACCTTCCCAACCATACTGACAATGTGTGCTGCAACATACGAATGCCGTGGTGAACCACCTGAGGAATCCAGCACATGCGACCCTCATGTTTCATGAGTTGTCGCCACAGGCAGCAGACCAATTTTGTAAAACATAGCTTTAGGCATGCATGTATATGGGTCTGTCGTGTTTTAGGGAGCCCCTTGTTGGTTGGTTTGAAGACGAAAATGAAAGGCAAACAGCCATCTGGGCATTGTGGGGGGATCCCCTACAAAAAAAAACACACCCATATATGTACAACAGCCGTAGTTTGCCTACAAGCTCCAATCGATGTTGCACCAATGCAAGCTGATGGCCCCTTAGTCACTTGGCCAACCGCCCGCTTCCAGGGCATGCTGCGAGCCACAGTCGATCAGCTGGCACGAGGTGCTCCGGTGGCAGCCGTAGGGTGTTGAATCATTTCCTTGGGTAACGTTGAGGGTAGTGCATAGTACAGCTTCTCGGTGACTCAGGGGATTCCGCCCCTTTTTTTTCCAACTTTTTTTTGGGGGTAGAGAAGGGTTCCCCTTTAAAGCCAACCAAACAAGCAAGCATATATCCTTTTTGTCCCGTGGAACTCTGGGCATCTGAGCTGAAGATGAAGCCATGTGCCCTTTGTTGCCACAAGGTTCAGGACGGCGCTTTGAGAGTTGGGTTCCAGAGTGGTGAGGCTTGCAATACAAGAGCCTGTCATTTTGTTTGAAGAAGAAACAGAGTTGACCCTGTTACTTGCAGTAGATGTGAGTGGGTGTCAGCCTCCATTGCTCAATATTTGTCCTTCAAAACACTATGTCGTGCAACATTTGTTGAGTTTTGGATGCGGAAAGGCCAGTTGGGTCTAAAAAATGCATTGCTGCATGTAGCGATCAAGCAAAGGTCCGGGAGACCTTGCAACAGATTGCCCAGTTGAAGGATTCAGATGGGGCCGACCCATTGGGGGTCACACCAAGATTGACTGAAACCCAGGGGCGCCATAGCAATCAGGGGTGCCATTATGCGACAACATCTTGCTAGCCGGTCTGTGGAATTGTTGATGTCCGTGGCAAACCAGCAACTGAACACCGCTCATTTTAAACTTTAAGGTTTGCGGCGGCTACGGTCAACACATTGTTCATGAATAATGCAAGGTTCAGATTCATGGGTGTACAGCTTTTCTTCTAAGAGGCTTTGTACTAAAAAAGATGAATGATGAATGATGTATTCTTTGTCTGGATCACCCCTTCCCCACAGTCCATCCACACCTGGGTTCGTCTTGCCTTACTGTATTATTGTATTGAGGGTATCCTTAGGTTGAAGGGAAATTTAGGGGAACCAGAGAAAAGGGGAGCCAAATGAAAAACAGGGGGAATCAATCATTGAACCGCTCAATATTCCCATTTATCAATCTTGGAATCGCCACTGGGGAACCAGAGCAAAGGGGAGCCAGATGGGAACTGCGGAAGCAATCACCGAACCGCTCATCTTTGGTGCCAACAAACGAACTGCCAATGGGAAGCGGGGCACCGCCATTTGGTGCCAACAAACGAACTGCCAATGGGAAGCGGGGAACCGGAAGCTCAAATGGGAAGCTGAATTGGGAAGTGTTTTTTGGTGCCAACAAACATTTTGAGAGCGCCACAGGTGTCATGGTGATGGTGGACCTCCGCCGGCCCTTGGGCTGTGTGTGGCCTGTCCGCATTGTCCACGGCCTCCGAACCTGGGGAAGAGGTTGGGCTGTTTGGCGCGCGGCCTGTTGACACACGGATTACCCAAAAGGGGTTCCCCAAAAGGGATTCCTTAAAAAGGATGGGTTTCGGGATTCCGTGTGGCTATGGCCACGGTATGCTTGTTAACCTAAGGATTTGTTTTTGTTGGATGGTGTTCCGAACCTTTTGGTTTCTCAAGGGAAACTCAGATGGAAAAGAATACTCTCAACAGCGACCCACGCAAATGAAGGCTGACACAAATGTGAGCTTCGGTTTATTTGGAGGAACATACTAATTGGCGTGGTGCCCATTTATAGTGGATGGTTTCGTTTCAGAGGATTTATTTGATTAGTATGGTGCTCCGGATTGGTCCGGAGCTGACACTCATTTTGACCGGGAGTAGTCAGCCCCTAACGGGGATGTCCCATGTTCGAAGGAGCCTGCACTTTTGCTAGCAATCCACCAGGTTGGTTTGTCCGGGGTTGACACTACAAGGGGATGCCGGATGACATAAGCCTATATGGAGTGGGAAAACTCTGTTCAAGAGCCGAGCTAGCTTGCTGCGCCTCCCAGCAGAATTGTCGAAGAACTGCAGTGTTCCCTTATTTGCCAACCAACTCCAGCTTTGCTTTGGGGCACATCTCAGATGGTAAGTTGTTTCATGTTTCTGCAGTCGGTCACAAGTTGCATTGGCGAGTCAATTTAGCAACATCATGTTCATTTTTTAGAACTGACATAACCGCTTCTAATACTTATGGATGTCTTGCCCACGCAACCAAGATCATGTCAAAGCCATTGTGGGTGGAAGGCGACTGTTCAAGCGGTTGGCAGCTTTTGAATTTGAGCCCAATCACCGCTTTTCTAGGAAGCCAATTGTATTCCTCTGACTTGATGCATCACCTGAAAGGCGAGAAGGACACTTTCTGCTCGCTCATCTTCAACAGAAGCAATCCCTTCCCGCTAATGCTCACGCTCCGGCTCGAAAGTCGCAACTTTGTAGTACTGGGGGACCTTTAGATTAGGGAGAAGGGATGAATCAAGTTAAGGCTGGCGGGCAATGCGAGGGTCACCAGGTTCCGAGGGCCCTCGCGCCCCAGGTTCAGTGACAACCTGGTGACCAGAACCGTGCCCGAGGCAGATCCCCCGAGAATGGGATGGGTGTGAAACGCGACAACTTGAATCGATCACAGCACTTGCTTATCCATATGGCTGTGGTTGTCAAAACCAATGGTACCATTTTGGGGTAGCTGCACCAGCCATGTTAGTGAAAGTTTTAGCAAATGCACCTGGCAGATTGGCCTAGTTTAGCTCGCTCGTTTCACGCACCTCGTCATCAGTCCGCAAGCATTACTGGCATGAACATGATCTCTTGTGAAAGGGTGGAATCCGAGCGCGCATCTCTGACGTGGCATCTCCTTTCCGTTGACGAATGGCACAGTGGTACATACCTTTGTTGAAACTGTGATGCAAGCTCAATTGCTTGAGCATTTCGTGCTCAGCATGTTGTGTGGCACTTTGCCACTGCGCCATGTTCACAGCTAGCTTGCAGTTTTTCACTACACAAGGCTTCAGAACTCGTCAGCCGACTTTTGTTGGAGCTCCTGAACCGGTTGAGAGCACCTGGGCCCTGTGTTCAAGCGTTGTCCCAATCTTGGTTTAAGTTCCCTGGCATCGCGAATCACACTGGAGAACCATGGCACATGGCAACAAGTGTGCGTCTCTGTGTCTGTGTCTGTGTCTGTGTTTTTGTTTGTGTGGCTGTTGTTGAATGTTGCAAACACATGGTGTACATGTATTCCACATGGCTTAGGCCTTCTGCTAGATTTTGGTCCCTTCAAGAACTGGGCGTTGGCAATGCATCATCACAATGGGCCAAAAGACGGCTATGTGGGAAGAGGCACATGGCAGCCCGGGTCATTTTCCCAAAATGAGCTTATGCTTTGGCAGATCAGCAGCAATGTTTCGTTCTTGGCTGAGAATGGTTCCAAGTTGCGTGCCCTTTAGGCAGCAGCGCACGGCGGTTGTTTCCTTTCTTCGAACCTCCGGTTGGCAATGAACCGAGACAGGCAGCACTCAGGTTTGGTTTGCATGGGTTAGAGGATCAAGCCTGATTGGAGTGTTTGGAGTTGTTGTGAATAGCAGTTCTACTACATGGATATATTTGAAGTGGGGCATGGTTTCAAACGGTTTCAATGTATTTCAATTTTAGAAACACACAACTGGCTTACTAATATGGCCATTCTTGCACGACATGCGTTGTGCGCGTTCCAAAACCTCAAGAGGACGGATCGCTGCCAATTTACTGTACAGTTGCCTGCCAAGACCTGCTTGCAGAAGGTCAAGTCATGTACCCTCAAGTGCAGCAGTCTCAGACGTTCGGCCAAACGCTTCCTTTGTAGAGCTCAGTTCTTCGTCAACCCCTCGTCCCCTCGTCCCCTCGTCCCGCGACGCGACCCTCGTCAGCATCAGGACGGCCAGGCCTTTGAGCTGGGGATTCGGCCCAACTGGCGGGTCCGCGCCATTGGAGGCGTGAAGCTGCAGAAGAGCTCGGAGCTCAAGGCGTTTCGGCGACGGGCGCTGGGGTGTTGGACGGTCGTGTCATGTGGAGTCCAGGATTCCGCTTGCAAGGCACCGGGTCAGAGGGAAAGCACGAAACCAAGGGGGGCTAAATGGAGAAATACTTGTTTGGGCTTGATTGATTGATCCAAGTGGATGATGAAGAGTGAAAATGGTGGCCGTTGCTTTCAGATGCGTAGAAGTTGTACATTCTGGATGATCTGTGGGGTGTAGATAGGCCTTGATGGTATTGAGGATGCGAGGGCCTCGCTGGCCAATCACCTCCCAGACACCCACTGTCCTTCTTTTCCAACACGCAGGAGGATGCAAGCACATTGATGTCCAATAAAGCAGTAAAGCCGCGAATGGCGGCTTTACACGGCTTGGACTTGACGCTTGTTTCATTGGGTGCAGACAGCGAATGAAACATGGCATTTTCAAGGCCGTCGTCCACTTGCCGAACAGGTCGCATTTTTAGCTGTCAGGAGATACACACCCGGCATTTGGATAATTCAACAGTTTGACTGAAGGAAAATGGGGCACACTTATGTGATACGCCTGGCGGAGCTGATGCTTCTCGCATGGCTTTGGGCTTCCTATCACCGCACAAGCTAGTACTGCATGCACCGAGAAGCTGCGAAACGGGTTGCCCGCCAATCAATTATGGCACTATATATATATATACATATAAAATAAATATATATATATATACATATATATTATACACATATATAGGCAATGCTTCGTGTCCAATGCGTGGCACCGGTCGGGGGAGCTACCCAATGGGGTATTCCCTGCTTTTGTCGCTTGTAGCTCTGGACTGCTAGCTAGTCATGTGGCCTCGCGATGGGTGACAGCAATGAGAACGAGCACATCCAGCTGCCATTCAATTTGTGCTACCTCAACCTATAGGTACATTTGTTTGCTGATGTTTAGACTAGATGCAAGAGCTTCAAGAACTACCGAAAGCAACTTACTTCTGGAGGGAGCAAGAGAGCCCGGGTTTGTTTGGATGACTTTGCATGACTTCGCCTTTTTAGTTTGCAGCCAGGCTCTCGCAGGTTGGTGGGCATATGTCAGAGATCTCATTGCTTGTGACATGCCCCCGTGGCTGTGGGTGCTTCTGCATTCTTGTCGGGCTTCAGTCACTGTGTTTTGACTGACTCGGGCATCGCACACTCAAACTGATATATCTCATTTGGCATGTGCCCTGATCAAACAACCAACACGTTGAAAAAGCAAAGAGCAACCATGCCACCAGATGTGGGCTGTGTGGTTTGGTTCTGCATTCTTCAATCAGGCTACGTGCTTTCCTCACCCGGTCACCCGGCCACCGGCTCATTCACTTCCAGGGCCTTTTCGGCGCTATCAAGCTCCGCTCGCAGGATCGCATCTCCAAGCTAAAGACGGAGGCGGGCCGCGGGGCCAGGAAACACAGCCTTCCAGAGGGGCTTGCGGAGTTGATCAGTACCATTTCGTGAATCTATTCTGGCGATAAACTCCATGAATGCTTCCCCTGGTCGTACACTCTTCGGATGGACGAAATCCTGCACCACCTAAGAAGCCCTGGTTTCTGATGATTCCCCAACGCACATACCAACAAACAGTGGTTTCAACCCTGGTTTCAAAGTGGTGCGGAACGGATTTCGCTACCATCCACGGTACGTATGTTGACACGTCCCTTCCGACCCGAGGGCAGCAAGGAGGTGACCATGGTCTTCGCGCCGCCCCCCATCGTGGCCTCTTTTGCCAAGCGACCCTTTGGCTTCACTGTGGCTAAGGACGCCGGGTGCGCCCTGAGTCGGGAGGGGAGATGCTACTTGGGGTATACTTGGGCGGTTGGTTGCTTGCTTGCTTTTGTTCTTGCTTGCTTGCTTTATTTCTTGCTTGGTTGGTTGGTTGGTTGGTTGGCTGGCTGGCTGGCTGGTTGGTTGGTTGGTTAGTGGGTGGGTTGGTTGGTTGATGTTGCGACAAATGTTGGATACATTGAAGCCAAATCAAGTCATGCCTGGTTAATGAGTAACTGAGTAACGTGTAAGTTTATGACCTTATCTTGTTTTCCCAGAGCGGAAGAGTTTCGAAGGGTCCGGATCTTTTCCAGAAGTGGGGCGGTCCCCACTGAAATGCAAATCAACTGTTCGTGGTGTTTTCATTTGCAGCACAAGACGAGGGGTAACTAGTGGGTTTCCGGGGGGATGGTTGAATGAAAGCAAAGGCGAGAAGTCGACAGCAGGTGAGTCATAACACAAGGTTGCCACGAGGGTTCTCAGGTTCTTGCTCACTAGACTCGTTAACAGATGAAGTAGCAACAAGCGATGATAGTTTGGCTAAACGATGGAGTAAACTACATTTATGAAATGATGTTGATGCAACGGGAATGGAGTCGAATCGAACAAGCGCGCTCTTCACCAGGTGCAATGCGTTCATGGTGCTGGTCTTTGGCACGAACTTATGAGAATCATGATGTGTTCCACTGGCGCACCATGAGCAGGCAGCAGTTCTTGCCAGCCCGCTGCAGATCTCTGTTCCATAATATAATTCCCTTGGGGGGTAGCCAATAGAAGGCCATCCTGGACCAATACTTTCTTGCATTGGCAGTTGCCGACCTTGCCCTTGGTCTTAGTAGCATTGACTGGTTTTGCACCGAGCGACTGGCGCCTGCCAATTGGCGTGCTTTGCGTCAGAAAATGAGAGGCGTAACTCTATGGAGCACAAGAAGATGTGCAGTCCTTGATATACATCAAGCCGCATGTGCAACATGTGTCTGAATGGAGTGCACATCCCGCATGTCGAGGCAGCCCTTGTTTTCCACGGGAGGCTCCTACTGGCTCGTCAGGACCCCGAGTTGGGCCTCATCTACGTGAATGCCTCCAACGGCCTCACTCGGGCTCAGGGTGTTCGTCCTGGCGCCCTGCTCTCCAACGTAGGCAGCGACTGCGGGCGTTCGAGGCTTACCAGCTTTTGGGTCCCCCAAGGTTCCAGGGGCGGTTAGAGAACGCATATATAAACCGCACAGTTTCGCAATTTATATCAGAAACCACCGACGACACACTTGCCACCTTAGTCGTTTTACAACCCTCACGCCGAATATCTTTCATGTTGGTTGAACTGTAAAGTGTATGAATCGAAATATTCATAAGCCGAGTGTTTGCGTTTGAGCAAGCGCCGGCCAGTTGGTTGAACCCTGCACAGCTTCATTGATCAAAGCCTTTCCACTTGTCAAGCACGAAGTCAAACGACAACTAGTGTCAATACAGGTAAGACGGACACCAACTACACAATAAATCGGCCACACATAAGTCTTTACTCAGTTTCTGTCACGGTGTTGTCAACTAGGACATTGGACATGAGTGTCTGCGTGCCAAGAGTATTTGGCTGATACATTGGTGCGACCAGACAGGTCAACGTCTAGCGTACATCTAGGGAGTTTTAAGCTTATTGCTGTAAGAACACATTGCATGCCACATGCCGGATGTCTCGTATGTAGCCTAAAGCCTTCCATGATCTTCCATGTCAAACCGCTCGGTTTGACGAAACGTGTTTGTGTTCCTGCTCGCGGAAAACAGGGTTTGGGATTCCGGTTTTCATGAGCTTGTTCCTCACCCTCCCGTGAATTTCACGGGGGGCTCTTCGTTAGTTACCTCCTTGATGGGTGGGCACCTCACACGTGGCCCGTGTGAGGGCCATGTGCAGCGAGCAGGTGGTACCGACGTCAGCGCTTTCAAGATTGAGCAGGTCAGAGACATGCTCCTGAAGGCGAGGGCTGCATGTTATGGCCTGCATGCAGTAAGCTGGTTTTGGTGCTTCTGTGGTATCATGATGGCTCCACACTCCTTGAGGCACGCTGTTGTGTGAAGGAGTGAGTGCTTTCGGGAAAACCTTAGCAAGCAACAATGTAGTTCCCAATGACACCGCTGACCAGGGGGCAGCTGTGCATTGCAGCTTTGAAGCCACCCCACAGCTTCGTTTGCTGCACATTTCTGACAGTAGAATAGCGTACCAGCAAAGACAGCGAAGCGGGGGGGGGGAGAAGTGCAAGCAGCATTGAACGGTAGCTCAAGACAATCCAAAATTGCACAAGCTACGGAATTGGGCCACGTTTCTGCCAATACGAGCTGTCTTGTTTATGTTTTGGTTTTTGTGCAAGCGTCTGGATACAAGAGATCGTAAGAAATCAGGAATTTCTGGAGGTTGGCCCCACAGAAATCCGCGGGCTCCCTACAACCCTACAAACTTCCGTGGCCGGCGCGATGTTTTTTTGCATAGTCGAAGCGAAGATCCGCACAGGGCTCGGCTTTCTTTACAAGTGTTGCGTTTCTCTCGTGTTTCTTACCCTTTCCAGGCGCAATCAATAAGATGGATTCTTCAGTGAAAAGACAGCACTGCAGTCTGTGTTGAATGGATCTTTTTGCACTTCACCTGAATTGCCAAATCCCTGCACCACCCAATGCTCCGTGTCCCCCGGTCGCTATATAATCCACAAATGCTTGGAACACGGCGGGTCGCTTATTGCATCATGATGGCGGTTTGCCGTGCTGCTGGGTAAAGGCAGCGTTGCACATGCCACGTTCTTTGCTTGTCATTTCGTTCCAGCATTGCTCGGCTTCCGACCACAGCTGTACTTGGGCTTTGTATCTGGTCTGAAGCAGAGCAGGCAAACCCGTCTCGATAGGCCGAGGCTTGCACAAGCGGTTGGTTGGTTGGTTGGTTGGTTGGTTGGTTGGTTGGTTGGTTGGTTGGTTGGTTGGTTGGTTGGTTGGTTGGTTGGTTGGTTGATTGGCGAATTGGTGGGTTGTTAGGTTGGTTGGGTGGCTGGCTCGCTGGCTGGCTGGCTGGTTGGTTGGTTGGTTGGTTGGTTAGTTGGTTGGTGGGTTGGCTGGCTGGCTGGCTGGCTAGCTGGTTGGTTTGTTGGTCGGTTGGGTCTCGCTGGTTGGTTACTTAGTTTGCTCAGCTACATTTTCCAATGAGCTGGCTGGCATGTTGGTCGAGCTGGCTGGCATGTTGGTCAGTTTGCTCAGTCACAATTTCCAATGAGCCTTCCATACCCAGGAAGCTGGACATGCTCTTTTCGGCCAGTGGTTTTCATTTTCAGGCAGACACCCCCCTGACGGTGCACTTTGAGCAAGCCCGCGGTCTTCCCAACACTGCCACCTGGCGAACTGAGTGAGGGGTTGCCATCCTCAGCTCCCAGTGAAATTATGTTTAACTCATAGCGTCATGCCGCATCCTGTTGTCTGACGATTTCTCATTCCGGGTTTACATATATCTGTTTGTGAAGTTCGGATAAGTTCCCGCCAAAGGCACACGTGCGGTGGGCACCAATTGGGCACGTATGTGCCTGGCACACATCTATCATTCAGCAATCACGTGTGATAGCCCAACATTCTGCAAGCCATAAAATGGCAGCGACTATTGATATTTCGCAGGTTTTTGTGGCCAGTGAGAGTCGTTCTGCATCTACACTGCCTGGAATTAAACAGGAAGTCCGTGCTCTCAGTCCCTACATGGAAGTCCCTTCACCGTCTTTTCCCGGGGAAATGCCTGTCTTTTTTAAGTCCAGTGTAGGTGTTTGAGAAGGCCTAGTTCACGCGGTATGCTTGGCTCCAGCTCCACAGCGACATCAAGCCTGGGTCATTTTTGGGACACTGGGGGGACGCATAGTCACCAAATGTTCCATGTCCAGTAGAAATGGCAACCGTTTTTTTTGACCGCGTGTGGGCACTAGGTACAAACAAGCAACCCAACAAACAAGCAAAGAAGCCAGCAAGAAAGCAAGCAAGCAAGCAAGCAAGCAAGCCAATCACCACACAACAACAAAAACAACCAGACACACAACACAAAACGGCGCAGCTAGAAAAAGTGACCGCGGGTTTTGAGGTCATGTGGCTGCGGGTCAAAACCAATGGTACCATTTGGGGGTAGGTGCACCACCCATTTTAGAACCTATAGTGGGAATTGGCATGTTCACTGGGGGTGCGAGATTTGGATTTTGACCCACTGCCATGTAAAAGCACACGACAACCAAACACAACAAGAACAAAAAGCAATACGCCGCAATAAGAATATCCCGCAGGCTTTGAGGTCAAGTCTTCATGTTCGATCCGAGGTGACTGGCGTCCTCCACCCGGTGCCAGACGAGGAGATGCCGGCGCCGCCCCCTGAGGAGCCAGGCCTACGCCCCCGCTGCGGGCTGGATGTGGGGACTGCGCCACTTCGCACGTGGTTTCCCCGGAAAGGCGATCCCCAAAAAGGAGAAGCCGCTGAAAAAGTGGATTTTGGGGTGTCCAAATTGGTTTTTGAAAAGGATCCAACATCAAATTCACCTCCAAATGAGGGCTGTTAAGGAGTTTCAGGTGCAGGGGAATAAGCAGGTTGCCAGGGAGCGAGCGGGAGGCAGGGCCGCATTTGTGCTCCAGTTTGCTGTGTTTTGGCAATAGCTACTGAGCTTGTGGCCTTTGGGCACAGTGACGGCTTCTACCTGGGTGACCCCCAACGCACTCCGCGGAGCCCCTTGGCATTCATTCATGAATTCGGCGTGGGACATGGTCGACGTGTGATTGGAATGGGGGCATACAATATGAAGTGAAGCCCTCTCAGCGAGTGTTTGAGTCGTTTGGGGGTGTCTTTCTGTGAGGGTAGCCTTTTGGCGTGGTTTTGAAGGACACCACAGCGAACCACTTTGTTTTTGGCATCCTCGCATGAGACAAGCCCATTTGCGGCAGCTTCCAGCTTGTCTTGGACTGGGGCACTTGGCTCGCAGCACTGGCTGCGCGCGCGGGGGGGGTCAGAGAAGGGCCACTCAGAGAGTTGTCATTCCTTTGTTTCATTTGAACAGAAACCCATTGGGTTGCTTTGTCCACATGAAATGAAGCGCAAAGTTGTCTGGTTACCAAGAACCCAATGCTTTCGATTTTGCTCGGGATCTCATCAGCTGAATCTGGCCAAGCAGATCGCAGCTTCCTTTTTCCGGCGCCATGCCACTTTCCGCTCGAAGCTCCAAGACCCTCGCGACCCACTTCAACCTCTCCGCTCTTTGCAGCTTACCCAGGTCCGCCTCCAAGCCCGCGGTGCGTGCGGCGCTGGACGCAACGAGCCCACGACCGCCGGTGAAGCGAATCCTCACCACCCTGAGCTCCCAGCGCCGCGGGGATTTGGTGCTCAGCACGCTGGAGGTGCTGAGGGAGCAGGGGCCCGTGGATGCCCAGGACGCGAAGAAGTGCCTCTGGTTGGCCGCGCCGTGCTCTTTGGGTTCTCGACAGACCGTATATATCTGTGGGTCAAAGATAGGTACCCAACATGGGACCCTGGTAAATTGAACAGTTCACTAAAACTTGCGGTCCCCAGGTGACTGAATTTTGACCCATACCCATATCAGTATTGGGTGCCGCAAATTGAAATTGCGCCTCATCCGGCCGTTTAAGAACCTTGGTGCATTTTGCTTGGATGTTAGGACTTTGACTTTTTGCCAACTAATGGGTTTTCCATTAAACCACTATAAAAGTTAAACTTTTAGCAGGGGAGCAGACAGCAAGCGAGAAAAACACCTGCCAGGACTACACTATCGCCATGTCAACCTGCGCAAAGTCCACTCTCTGGATGGATGCCTGCATGCTTTTCGCCTCGATGCCTGGGGCGCAGGCGGGGGCCCGGCTTGTAACGTCCGCAATGCCGGAGGTAAGCCATGCACCCACCAGCTTCTTGAGGTCTCCACATGTGACAAGGATCCAAAAAGAAGTGTCCCTTGAAAGGACACTCCTCCCAAAATGATGGCTTTTCGGGTTCCATCACAATCTGCAGGAGGGAAAGTGTTGGATCACTGACCTGCTTAGGATGCAAGATGTAGCAAGCAGGAGGTAAGCCACCCCCGAAACAACGCATGAACCAAGCCAAAAAACGATTCCAACAAAAATACACCCAAACCATCCCAAACTGGATGCTGATTTAAGCCACCCCTGAAACTAAAAACAATCCAAGACCAGCAAACCAGCTGAAGCTATCCACGTCCCATTGAGAGCGGAGGTTTTCCCGGACACCATCAGCTACAACTGCGCCGTGAGCGCGGCGGAGAAAGGCGGGCGCTGGCAACTGGCCGTACAGCTCTTTGAAGCGATGCCTCGCGCCAAGGCGCGGAAGTTTGAAGCCTTGCCCAGCTGCAACCACTATATTCCGCCCAGAGGGGTTTTTCAAGTTTGTTTTTGTTGGGGAAGGGTTTTTATCTTGAAACTCCACCAACCCAAAAAAGGATGCCATTTTGTTTTGCATGGAAATCCGCGCATCCGAGCATCTGGTTTTCCTTTAAGGGGACCACGGATCTTTTTCAGCCCTCAGTGTCAAGAACCCCAGGTGCAGCCCAACCTCAGCAGCTTCAACACCGCGATCCGAGCTTGCAACCCGAGCTGATCAAGAAAAATCGGTCCCCCAGTGCCCTTCTCACCCCTTTGGTTGGGAGGCTTCCCCTAAAATAGACGTCCTGAAAAAAATGGTACCAACTTTTCCGAACCTCTCAAAACTAGAGGACCTAGTTTTTGTGTTTACGGATTTTGAAGTACCAGAGAAAATACAACCTTTGTTGAAATGATTAATTACGTACAATTAGGATCCGGAATAGTTGAAGTTCTAAAGCAATACAATTATCCATGATATATCATTATTTATCACTAATTTTACGTTGACGATTCTTATGTGTATTATAATGATTATTCGTATTGTTATCAATACTATCAATAGTATTATTGTTATGTTTTTATTAATTATTACTACTACTACTATTGTTATTATTATTATTATTATTATTATTATTATTATTATTATTATTATTATTATTATTATTATTATTATTATTATGCTCATTATTATCATTATTGTTATTATTATACATATGTATGCGAGTGTGTATACCTTTATGTCATTTACACAAATGTAGATTGTATGAAGATGCATTTCGGAATTTGGTAGCAGTTTCTACTTTTTGGACAGATCAACAAAGGCCCAAGATTAAACACATAGAAACTACAAGGATGATCATGTAGTATATAGTTGATCAACACACACACACACACAGACAAGTGGGGTCACGTGCTCGTTTCTAGCTCCCTCTTGCTGTGAAGAACGGTGGAAATGAATACACGCACGGCGCTTTTGTGTCTTTGCCCATAGCTGTTGCGCAACGAAGGCAAAGGCGGGCTTTGGAGCAAGGCCCTCGAGGTATTTCAGGCCATGCCTGCGGCGAGGATCCAAAGGGACAGCATCAGCTTCAACGCAACCATCAGCGCGTGTGAGAAGGGCGGTGGGTGGCAGCAGGCCTTAGGCTTGTTCTCAGCCATGTTTGAGCAGAAGGTTCTTCCTGACACCATCAGCTTCAGTGCCACCATCAGTGCATGTGAAAAGGCGGGGCAGTGGCAGCGGGCTTTGCACTTGTTTAGTTTCATGCCTCTCGCAGCGGTTCTTCCTGATGCCATCAGCTTTAGTGCAGCCATCAGTGCAGTTGAAAAGGTCGGAGAGTGGCAGATGGCGCTGTGCCTTTTTGAGGCAATGAATCAAGCATCAGTGCGCCCTGACGTTATCAGCTTTAGTGCAACAATTAGTGCATGCTCAAAGGGAGGGCAATGGCAGCAGGCTTTGGGATTGCTTCAGTCCATGCCGCAGACCAAGGTTCAGCCCAATATCGTTAGTTTCAGCGCCTGTATCAGTGCTTTCGAAAAGGCTGGGAAATGGCAGCATGCTTTGAGCTTGTTTGGAGACATGCCTACAAGTAAGATCCAGCCAAATCGGATAAGTTTTGCCTCGACTATCAGCGCATGCGAAAAGGCTGGGCAGTGGCAGCAGGCGTTGGTTGTATTCCAAGCAATGCCAACGAAAGGCGTGCATCCTGACGTGGTATGTTTCAATACAAGCATTAGTGCTTGCAAAAGGGGTAGGCAGTGGCAGCAGGCATTGGCAATGTTTGATGCAATGCCAGGAGCTGCCGTTGTTCCTGATGAAATAAGCTACGCTTGCTTGATTGATTGCTTGCATGGTCACAACTACAGCGCCTCTCTTGCAGCTTTTTCACAAGCACTGCGCGCGGATTTCTTCGAGAAATTACGTGGCATGAGCCCTGACATCATTGACCTTCACGATCTCTCGGAAGCTGCAAGCCAGCTTGCTGTGCAGTGGTGGCTTTCAACAATTGTCGCTCCAGAGCTAGGGAGAAGGCAGCGTACACATGACGCCTACAAGCCTCTTGTTGTCACCGGATATGGCAAGTCGCGGCAAGTTTGGGACACGTCGGATATTCAGGAATCCATCGTCCAGATGTTGCGAGGCTTGAGCATCTCGGTTCGTGTCCTGGAGCACAACATTGGGCGGCTTCAGCTGGACCTTGGCCCACGTGACCTGCCTGTGCTGAAGAGCTGCGTGGAAGAAAGATGTGCGACGGTTGGCGGGAGCAGCAGTGAGATGGCTGGTTTTGGTGCATATCCGCATGGCTGCTTTTGTTTGATTTGGGTGTGTTTGAGCAGCGCTCACGTCACATCGCTCATAAGCCCGCAAATACAAGATGATTTGAGCAAAGACTAGGCAAGGGGTATGGCAGTCCGGGAGGGTTGTGAAATTGGGATCCCAGGACGGGCACATTCGCGGTTTTGGGCAGTTCTTGCTCCTTAAAGTCTATCCATGCCTTCGCATGGTGAGGAATTTGTTCCACTGCGAATGCTTCTGAAGAACCAGATTTGCATTTTCTGAAGAGTATTGGCCAATTCGTTCTATTTCATTCTATTTCCTGTGTCCCGAAATATGGGAATCGGCGGGGTTCCTGCTGACACCTCACATGCAAGTGACCCAGACACATCCAACCAATTTGGGGCATCCACCGCCTCGTTGGAGCCGCACCTGGCCCCCTCCGCGTGTCCCACCTGGCCCTGGCGCGCAGTCGACGAGGGTCCGCTGGTGAATCTGCCGCCGGTGGATTTGGACATTGACCTGTGGGGAGCCTCAGTCTCCCATAGGGGGTGGGTGGGTGGGGACTAATAGGGGGGGTGGGGGGGGGGTGGTGGGGTGGTGGGGTGGTAGGGTGGTGGGGTGGTAGGGTGGTGGGGTGGTGGGGGGGCTGCAGATTTCTTTTCGGCGAACAGCCTGGGGATCCAGAGGGAGGTGTTTGGACCTCTTGAAGGGGGGGAAGTGCCACACTGCGGAGTCTCAGAGAAACCAAAGCCAGTCAGGGGCCCAAAACCATCGAGACCCCTCAGGGTAGGTTTCTGTGACTCTGTTTGGTAAGGGTCTCGCGTATTCCAGGCCAACTGAAACAAAGAAGCAGGGGCTCAGAGGGAATTTTCAGGGACCCAAAACATCTGAGACCTGACCAAGGCCAGGACTCTTTTCCTACTGCTCTGAGCCTGTCCCTGCTTTGTTTGCCCAACAACGCGTTCTGACGTGCTTGATGACGAATTCCGGTATCATACTCGTACCTGCATGCAGTAGCGTGTGCTAGCCAATTTGGTAAATGCGTCTGCTCATGCAGCACGGGCCATGGATTAATTGAGGCTTTTCGGTTGAATGGCGTTCTGGCAGATTCGAACAACTCCCTGGTTTGAATTTTAAGGCAGGGAGACCCAAAGCCGACCCTTGAACTTAGTTTTCCTTTTCAGTCAAGATCCTCGAAATGGTCAAGATCCTCACAAGGTTTCTGCTGGGGGCCCTTGTCGGATCCTTTTAGTTTGTTTTTTCCCACAGCACCTTAGACCTTGTCCAGATCCTCAACTAGGTCCCCCAGTAGTGCCCTTCTCTCCCCCTTTTCGGTTGGGAGGGTTTTTCTAGTAAAATAGACAAATTCAGAAAAAAAGTTGGTACCAACTTCTTCGAACCTCTCAAATCTGGACCTGGTCAAAGGTCCTTCGGCCGTAGGTCTTTGCCCCTGGGCATCGTGTGGGGCAGCCGCCTGGTGGTGGAGAGCGTGCAGAAGGGCTCCCAGGCCGTGCTGCGATCCAAAAAACCTTTGTGCCCGGGAAAACGGGTCCCAAAAGATCGATTTCGGCTTGCAACAAAGGATCCGGAGGAACCCATGTCTTAGAACCCAGAAAAAAGGGTCGAACCTTGGTTTTAACATGTTAAAGCTTCTATGGTCTGCACAACAGAAAGCTCTCGGGGGTCCTTGCATTTTCCTGTTTGAGGGGTTGGGCCAGATTAAAATCAGTTCCTTTTGGTGGGGTGATGCTAAAGAGGACACAGAAAGAACTGTCGGACAAGGAGTGAGAAGCATAGCTTGCAGGAATCACCTACTAGGCCTTTGTTACTATTTACCTAGGTCATTGTCGTGCACAAAACGGTCATGCCAAGGGGTTCCGCCTTAAAGTGACGACGTGGTCACAGGATGGGAATCCCACTTTCGACCTGGCTATGAGGTGCAGCTATGTGCTGTTTAAGGGTTCAAACGAAGTCTTGGAGGGAGAGAACTAGAAACAACTGGCTGTCAACTTGCTTTACCAAGGCGAGCAACTTTGACTAAACATATGTTAGCAGTGCTCCTTCAAGGCTGCAAATAACCTGAGGGGTGACTGTGCACTTGGCCTTGCAGGGGCGAGTTGTATGAGCATGAAACGCTGCTGCAAGCTTGACGCTTGAAGGATTCATTCAAGCACGACTTGAGATGCTTGGGGTTTGCTTGCACTTGGGATGTTACAACTTGTCAGGAGCTTTGCAAGACAGGCTGTGCAAGTTCAAATGCTGCATCCGAGCCTCAATAAAAATCATTTGCATGCTATTTGCATCATGATCATCACCCGCTGAGGTTGCTCAATGCTCTTCTACTAGCCAAATATGAATGTATTGCATGTACAGCTGGTTTGCTTACCTTTAGGCTTGGCAAACATGTTTGCCTCCATTTAACTTGATCTGAGTGAGTGCTTAAAGCCAGGTTTTCAAGAGGGACTCAGGCTGTATCCATGGATCTTCCAAGAAGGAAAGACCACTGCATCCTTCTCTCCGTCATAGATTTCTGAGATCTGCGCACCCTGACACGGAGGCATGTCTTTTTCAATGAAACTCCCCCGTTTCCAGCCCAGCGATTTGATCTCTTTGCTTTTCCCTAGGAGCCCAAGACCCTAAATATGAGGGCCTTGAACCCCCAAAGGCCTCGATATTTGAGGTCTTGGGCTCCTAGGGTGTTCTCGGGATCTGGGCCTCGCTGGGCACCCTCATGCCTCCTGTCCGGGTTTCCGGCAGGCGGCGCGGCTGGGCATCGACAAGGGCTGGCAAGCGCTGGGCCTGGCGGGGGATGAGCTGAACAGCCAGAAGGAGCTGGAGAAGAAGCTGGAGGCTTCCGCTTCCGGACCAACGGAGGGCGGGGAGTAGACATGGTTGTTGGGAAACATTCTACTTTTTCGCATATTGTGGTTTAGTGGTTGCAATCCAAATCCACTTCACTGCCACAATTCGATTTTTTGCTCCCCAAACCCAACGTCAAGTAGATGGCACTCCCTTTCTTTGGGTACAGGGATTGCTGAAACCAAAGTGTGAAGAAACTGCGCCAGTCATGTTCACCTCGATGTGCGACGGGACTGCGCCCTCTTTGGATAAAGCAACTAACCCTGAAGCAATTCTGGGATTGGGAAAGAGTCTTGATTGCATGCTAAGAATTATGGACGAGGATTTGCCAACCCTCCATCTCGGAATTCCCAGCCTTTGCCCTGTGTTGTTTTCCTCTTTGCTGCCTCATATTTCGTTTTCGTGGCTCAACCGCGCCCATGTGATGCTCCTGACACAGATATCCAGACTCGACATGCCTGTCAACGGCAAACTTAGACTTGAGTTTGGGGAGTCTTTGGAACTGTCCATTGACGAACTGAAGCAACATGTGCGGAGGGACTCTATTTGTTCGGTGTGTGTGAGTGGTCCAGCAAATCGGGAGACCGTATGGAAGGTTGGTGCACATCTTGTTTCCCTGTTACAACAACGCGAGGAACCGTGACTGATAGTTGTGTTGACGGAATATATGAGCATAATGTACTTGTTTGGAATATGTAGTATGTGTTTGTTCTTTCTTTAATAATTTCTCTATTTCTTTCTTTATGTCTGTCTTTATTTCTTTCTTTCTTCCTTTATTCATTTCTTGCTTTTGTTTTTGCTTTTTTGCCTGTCTTTCTTTCTGTTTTTCTTGCTTAGGATGTGCGCGATTCCCTTTGGACCGCAAGTGGTGTGGCTCTGAATTGTCACGGCCATCGCCTAGTTTCGTCCGAACCCGGAAATGCTGACTGTTGACCTGAATGCCTGAGGCTCTACTTTTTGTTCGCTGGATTTGCTTCGTCGATTTTGTGATTACATGGCTGTCAAAGCGGTCCCTTGTTGCAGGCATTTGCAAGCATCGGGTTGCTTCGCTTCCAGAGCTGACGCTGGGTGCACCTCTTTTTTTTTTTGTTTATTGTTGTCAGGCTATATAAAGGTTAAGGACCACGTGAAGCCGCCAGAAGGCCTGATGGCATCGATGAACTTGGCCCCACAACGGCGCAGTTATGCGCACCACAGCCAATACACAAGCATACACAAGCTGCCTGATGGAAACCAGCAACCTGAGCGACCAGCGATGCCAATATGTAGGCTTACGCAGCCCAGCCTGGGGGTATGCTAAGGGACAGTACGACTTTGGCATTCTATTTGGCATCATGACTCCCAGGGGTCGCTTTCAACAGTTTTGAAGGGCACATAATGAGCTTCTTGTTTCAAAATGAGTGTCCTCTTTGCACTACATGGCCGTATGCTCCATTAAAGAGCAAACGGCAATCAAGAGGTATGCACCTTTCGGTCTCTGATCATCCGGTCCATCGTCAAGATAGCTCCTGTTCCCAGCGGCCAGATTAACGTAAGCGACCGTAACGAATCCAAGCAAACAAGCGTGTGTGTATAACAGTGTGATTTCATTTTCACAATACCTTCCGACATGATTACTTTGCGTACGCACGGACTTGTATGCCTTGTTCCCCAAGGGGGGCTTCTTAAACTAGATGCTCCCATGTTTAATGGGTTGGTTTCAGTTTGGTTTCATGAACATTGACGACCAGAAGGAGATCCGAATTTAGGCTGAGAAGAACTTTCTCTTGATCCGAATCACGGGCAGGTCTTCAAGTCAGAAGGCTCCCTGGGCCAGTCCATGATGTTCCAGCCTGCGCCGGTGCTTGCCTCCAAAGCACGTGAGGCGTGGACATGGTCACCCAAGGTGCAGGCCATGCAAAACGGACTCTCAGAGTGTGTAGTTCAGCGACTCCGGTTCTTGAAATGTAGTCTGTTGCCAGAGTTTCTACAGAAGAGAAAGTGTCTGTGTACGCGCTGACAAACTCCCTACAACACCCACATCCAAAGCTAGGCCAATAGCCCACACTCTCATGTTGCACAATCAGCACGTGCGGCAACCGCCGATATCGGCACTGCCGCACTGCCACGCAAGCAAGCCTACGTATGCAAACACACACAAAACGACGCACTCAGCTCAACACCCACAGTACACACATTTACACACCAACACGCACGTACACACACAGAGATTCACACACGCACACATAGACTGGCAACCTCAGCTGTTGCTGGCATCCCCTTTGCTTGTATGTTCCATGTATCTCCTGGTGAAAAAGACGACACAAAACGACTTGACCAGCCTCTTCTGACAGCAAGCAGTATTGAGTGTTGATTCGTGTAAGGAGATGACCCTATCCACAAACATGGAAACGACTGAAGCCATCATTCAGAACCACTGTCCGCTGCTCGCATCCTTGCTGCTTTTGGTGTGTCGGTCAAAGAGAGACAGACCACGTGGAGGGTTGTCCCCCATCTTAGAAACAAGCATTTCCTTGCCCCTCCTTATATCTTAGTAGCCTTTTTCACTATTGTATAAATGCAAGCATCACATGTTCATATTCAATAATATGTGAGAACATTGTGTATCATGCATTGCGGAAATCAGTCCAAGTGTTGAGTGTACTGTAAATAGTTAGCACACGCGTTGCGTGGCATTTAGTTAGCACACTTTGCTGGGGGACTCCAAGACTCGAATTAATAACAGGCCACCCTAGAAAATATGGATCCTAAGCTAGCTACTTGCTCCTCAGACACATTTTGATGTGTCCTTGTTTATAGGGCAAAGCTTCAGGTTGCTTTGACGGGAAAGCACACTTGACTGACAAACCAGGTTTTTTCCATTACACCTTCGCCCCACACGTAGCCAGAAATTCATGTTTCGGCACATGGTGGTCCCGGTTCTCTCCTCCAACCGCCGCCAAAGCGACGCGTCCGCGCGCGTCGGCTTTTTCTGGGGGGTAGACTTAGGATACGTTTTGCATGTTACCAGTGACTCCATGTGAAGCAAACAATAAAGTGTACATTCTATAACTGGGTTTCAAGAAAGACAAGAAAACCATAACATTCTAGAACTGGGCCTAAGTCTACTCATGATCCGCGTCGGCATCCGCGTCGGCATCCGCTGCAGTTTGGCGCCAACCAAGCGGCGGCGCTGCTGCGGGAGCGCGCGGCCATGTTGGAGCGGGAGGCGGAGGAGGCTAAGCAGAACATGCGCTCGGTGCAGCTGGCGCCTAGGGCCAAAACCCGAGACGGCGTTTCTTTGGAAACGGGTGGGAGGAGCGAGGGGTTTGCCGGGGGAGGCGTGGGGTGGGGAAGACCCAAAAGGGTTTGTTTCCGACTGTTGGCTGCGCTGATTGGTTTGGAGTTGGGTTCGAAGCCTTTCCTGTGGGTACCGGGTCGGTGGATGGGTTTTTGGGGCGTGGGGTGGGGCCCTGGTTGTATGGGACACCAGGGTTTAGTGGTGGGGGAGGCGTGGGGTGAAGACCCGAAAGGGTTTCTTATGGTTGAAGCTGACGAATGTAACATCCAAGTTCAGAAGGGGAAAACTGAAGACCCCCAGATTTGGAAGGCTTCTTAGAGAAGGTGATCGAAGGTTGAGGGCCGGGGCCGTTTCTGCTGAAAGGTGAGCGCTTGGTGAGAGGGGCCTTTGACTTCTTTGGTAGATTTCATTCTGATTGCGACTTGAACGTGATGAGGAAGAGGTGAAGGTGGCATACATGTTACAGCTGTAAAGCAATGGTACCGTGGGCATTCGGCCCCGTTGCGCAAATTCGGTAGATGCTTTCGAGCAAGTCGGGACGCATTCAATCCCCCACTAAAATCTGTTCTAAAATGGGTGGTGAATTCACCTACCAACCAAAAATAGACTAACATGGGTGGTGCACCTACCAACCAAAATGGGATACCATTGGTTTTGACAACCACAGCCAAATCGGTACACCAAGGAGCTGGACATCTCGCAGCCCCTGGGGATTTTGTTCAACAAGTTCCTGGAGGCGGACTCGGTGAGTCCAGGCGGGATTTGCTGTGTCAATTTGTCGGATTCTCGGATGTCGTGGTAAATTTGCGGCATGTCATCTTGACCTCTTGTCGGAATATTTGTGTTGTCATGCAGAAAGACCATCCATTGGGTCAAGAATTTGGGCAAACCCTGGGCTGCCGGTGATGATTATGAGCTAGCTGCTTGTTTTGAATGGCAATTGGCATTTACTTCGACCTTGACTGGACACTGATCAATCAAGACACATACCCAGGGCTTTTTCATCACACCTTAAACCCAGCAGCCCGCCAGTTCAAACTGTGGCGTTGCTCCCTGTCGGGCATCATCTTACCGATCTGAGGCTCACAAAGCGCGAAGCTCGGAGTGCAGCCGGGCTGGCGCGCCGTGTCATTGGCAGGCTCGCCGATCCGCGTGGTTTTGGGTGAGCACAGACAGGGAGAGTTCGTTCGCACTGTTCTTGGGTTTCTTGATGTGCTGCTCTGGTTCTGCTCACGTTTAGTGAGGGCTCGTGGCCCGTAGCGCCCGCGGGTCGGGAAGTTGTCATGCTATTCCTACAGCACAGTGAATCAGTTATTCAAGGCCAGTTTCTGAACGAATGAGGCAAAGAGACTTGTCACAGGGTGCAACTGCGCCTTTGCTGCAAGCGATACCACCTGCCACCGGCAACCGTGTCAGCCGGCTTCGCACAGCAATGTTCTTGCTCAGAGGCAGAAGACTTACCTAGTAAACACGCCGATTCTTGCGGGCCAGGCTTGTGCCATCAATCCGCTTGGATGTGTAACCATGCTGTGGATGGACGAAATCCTGCACCACCCAAGAAGCCCTGGTTTCTGATGATTCCCATGTAAATACCAACAAGCAGTGGTTTCAGCCGTGGTTTCAAAGCGGTGCGGAACGGATTTCGCTACCATCCACAGTATGAAAAAAACACGCCCAGCAGTTGTCCCGTTCTGGCCCGGCTCGGCCCGGCTGGGTAGGCGAAACCTTCAAGCTCACCGCGGAGCTTGTGGCCAAAATCCAGGCGCTCTCTGCATGTGTCAGTTACCTCGGCCCAAAGTCTTTGGGACGAGTGCCATGAAGGCAGACGACTGCTAGCCTTAAGTGCACCTGGCATAGCACCAGGAAGCTGAACTGTGACTTGTGTTCAAAGAAATGTTTTTGGCACTCGTACCACTTCATCTTCCTGAAAGTCAGGTGGAGCTTCCCAAGAAACACGCAGGTAGAATATTGGACCATTTTCAGTATTCTCAACATATTGTTGCTTTCCATTGATGGCCAAGAGAAAACTCTGTCCTGGTTGTCTAAGAGCCTTGCTCCCTGTCCCATGGGTTCTACCCTGGTCTTTGTCCCCATGATCTGGGCCATTTGAGGTCAAGTAGATGTTCAGAGAGCGAAGTTGTTGTTTCTTTGTTCTGCCGAAAGCAAAGGATCTGCAAGGTGGATTTGCATGGCTCGCGTTGGAGTTTCTCCGAGTCAGCCATAATGACTGTCTCTGTCATAGTGTCTGTTTGCTTCACGACTTTGAACAGGGTTGCTCCGCGAAACGACCAAGGATCACCTGTAAAATGCATGGCATGTTGGGGGGTTCCCTGCAAACCATTCATGCAGGAAGTGTCACAATGGACCCTGGAAGTTTCCATCAAACAAAAGCTGGATGTCTAAGGCGCTGAAGCAGGAGGGCGCCGGCATGGTGACGGCGGTCTTTATGGCGCCCGAGACCGTCAGCGTGGACGAGACATGGCCAGATAGACCATGTCTCCTACTTGGGTGCAGATTCTGAGGGTTTTTATACATCCTTGGGAAATGACCCAGAATGGTTCAAAACAACGCGGTTTTATCCGGAAATGTGCCTAAATGGGGTCAATACCCAGTGGGTGTGTCTGTCCGCTTGGGTAGCAGATGGGCAGACGGCAGATGGAACGTTCCTTTTTGGGGCGGGGCAATTTTCACCGGGTTTGTGGGATTAAGGTCAGGGACCATTTCTTTTTAGCCTATGTGGTAGAATCATGCCATGTCTCAAACTGGTGGACTCCTTGTTGGACCGCGAGGCAACAACACGCTCTGAGGGGCCCCCATTTTGGGAAATGCCCATCTCTCCTACAAACACAGTGTCCAAGCGGTCCCTTCGAGAGGGTACATTGATTTTTCACATACCTTGCCATAGGTGTTATGTTAGTGTGACACAGGCTGGAAAAGTCCATCATTTTCCAACAAATCCAGCACCAGTTGGTCAGCATTTGTTTAATCTCAGTATTTATTTTGCTTCATTCCATTCGAACTGATGCAGGAGTTTGTCCATCCACGGTTTGCAGGAGATGTTTTAACTCTTTTTGATTCGGTCGGATCCGTTCCCAGGAGAAAGAGGAGGAAAAGGAACCGGAGGTGCAGGCCGATGACCAGCCGGGTGGTCCTTGGACGATTGCGATCTGTGGCAGTGGCTCAAAACGATGTACCCAAAATGGCCTCGTGGTAAATGGAAACAAGGATTAAAACCTGCGTGACCCCCAGCTCTTTCATTTTGAGCCACGACTCCCAACACAAGTTGCACTGACTTGCACTCCCAGTCTTCAGCGAAGAGCACAATGATTGATATGGGTTTTGCCTGTGTGACCATGTGCGGCGGTAGCCTTGGCCAACACATTCGGAGACCAGCCACCTTCTCTGAACTACTGAACTATTGAACTGGTGGCAAATCCTTTTTGGTAGTTTCACTAAAAATGAGTTCAAATGGCCTTGGGTCAAAATCCCGTACCCCCAGTGAACATCCCAATCCCCACCAAAATAGGTTCAAAAATGGGTGGTGAATTCACCTACCAACCAAAATGGGATCCTGTTGGTTTTAACCCACAGCCAAATGAACTGGTGGCAAATCCTTTTTTGTAGCTTCACCAAAAATCAACCATCAACAATCAACCCGATTGGTAGTTCAAATGAAGTCAACCCATCCTTTTTGAGTTCTTTTTTGAATCCAACCCATCAAAAAGTCTTCCAACTCTTTCGCTCTGAGCAGGAGATGGAGGTGACAGTTACCTTAGACCTCAGCCAGCCCCTGGGCATTGGTCCGGCTCCCAGAGCAATGAGCGAGCGACCTCGCGTATTTGGCGTGCCCGCAGGAAGAATCAGTCGGGTGAATCCTTTATTTGAGGCTACCCCTCCCCCCTTTTGTGGTTTTAAAGGGACACCAAAAGGAACACCTTCATTCTGAAGGTCCCATAAAAACGCAGACACGCCCATTTAGAGCACTTCAACAACCTGAAACTGCGGTTGGTGCCCTTGGATAGCTGTGTCAACTCCCATTTGTGCGTGCGCATGACGGTGCATCCTTTGTGTGCAGCGGACCTGCAGCTGGCATTCACGTCCCACTATCTCAGGATCTGCGAGCCAGCACATGCTCTGGTTCACACAAACTTGCGGCTCAGTACATTATCACGTGTACAGACGCATCGACTCCAACCATGCAAGCAGGGTAATAAGGCACAACTCATTCACAGCAGCAGCTAGGGGAGCCATTGCAGCTGGAAAACAAAGACCTTTGGGGCTAGGTCCCCCAGTAGTGCCCTTTTACTTTGGGGGGAGGGTTCCCCTACTAAAACAGACCACAGAAAAAAAAAGCAAAAAAAACATCGGGCACCTTTCTTCTAACCTCTCTACTGGAGGGGGGCTGAGGGGGGCTGAGGACCATGTTCCATGCATCACCTTCCCATGGCTCCTGCGTTCGGGTTCGGACACCGGAGGCTTCCGAGACAACTTGGAGGCGAAAGAGGTCAAGGAGAATGCCCAAGGCGCAAAGTTAGGCGGGCGCGAAGGACGATTGGGGGAAAGAAGACAGTGCGATCAGTGGTTTTATATGGTCTCTCGGGGTTTTGAAATGGATTGGCGCAATGCATGTGTTTGTCAGTACGACAACTGCTGCATCAATTGCGCTGCAGAAACTTAGGTGCCCATTGTAGGTCAACGCTGGCACTGGTTTCAGGTTGGTGATCATCGTCTACCAGTGGCTATCAGTGCCATATTGACTTGTTATGTGTTTTTTCCAACAGGGCTTCTAGGTTCAGAAAGCAAAGTGTTTAGAGCGTCATGACTTGGCCGTGCACCTCCAGTGGATTGCATGGAACATTGCAATGTGAAAGCCATGTAGCTTCACCTGCAAAAAGAGCTTCGGATGAGAATGGCAGAGAAAGGATTGAATGCTTGCAGCTTGAGCCCCATCCATGCTTTTGTCTAAGCGCGCCTGATTGGCAATGTTCCAGAGTATCATTCAACACTTGAACTGCAACACAGGGCCTTTGTATAGCATGACAAAGAAGGGACTAGGGTGATCAATCTGTACAAACTACAACAAGCGCGCCTTACTTGCAGGGGTAGAGTGCGCTTACTCATCTCCTATGACAGATTCCTTCGTTCCAGTTGGTTGGACAGCCCAGTAAAATAGCATGGAACCCCCAACAGGGCCTTGTAGATGGACTTGAAAGCTGATTTGGCGTCGGTGTTACGTAATTTTGAAGGAACACAATGTGGCTGAAATAAATGTCCCAAAATGGCACCTTGGTACATGAAACCAAAGACTAAAAACTGCTGAGCCCTAGCTCTCAAATGATGAGCACCTATGTGAGCCATGGAAATCCGCGCCGCAGGCATCGTTTCGGGCTGGCGTCTGCTGACTCTGAACGGGGAGACTCTGAGCCTGGCAGCCCAGGCATCGGCGGGAAGGCGACTAAAGCAAAGTACTGGTGTCAACAGACGGCGGAACAAAACGAAGAAAAACCGCACCACTGGCCGGAATCCAAGCGAGCGAGATCCAGGCTGGCTAGCTGTAATGATGATCGCTGAGAGAACGGGCCGGGTAAGTGTTTGTTTTTCTTTTTTTTAAACGCTTTGGGGTGCCAGTGGTTGGTATTGGCACACTTGGCCTACCCTTATGAGCGTTGTTTTTTTTCCTTGGAGTGCCACACTTTTATGGAAAAGGACATTTCGCTGCAATGTTTTTGTTTCGATTTTAAGAATCCTTGGATGGTTCTGAGGTATATGATGTAACTTGTTTATCCATACTTCGGCTAGTGGGGGTACACCGTGGAACTTTCAGTGTGATCCCCGAGGATTGCTGACCAACCCTGTGCAAGTCAAGGGAAATGAAATACTCATTCCGCAATGCAATGGACGTGTCTCTCTGAACCACCAAAGTGAGTCGATGTCCAAAACACATTTCGACTTCGGCACATGGCATATTTGTTTCGCGCCCGCCAGACAGGTTTGGCGGTTGCTTGACTCGGGCGCCTGAGGCAACAGTAAAGAGCTGGTGGCCAAGATCAAGGCAATCGAGCCGGTTGCAAACCCCTGGGGGTGGTGACTAGGTTCAGCTAGGTGTCCTTTTACCCCCTTTTTTGGGGTAGGGTTCCCCTACGAATTGAAATAGACTACCAAAAAAAGGGCACCCTTGTTCTAACCTCTCTACTGGAGGAGGTGAGAATTGCCAGAATTCCTGTGGGAATGAGCATGAGCCACATGAGTTTTGACCATACTGTGAATGGTTGCGAAATCCATGTCGCACCACTGAGAAACCATGGGACAGCATTGTTTATTGGTATTTGCAGGGAAAGAAATCATTCCCGGGGTTCTTGGGTGGTGCAGGATTTCGTCCATCCACAGCAGCAGAGCGAAGCATTTTTGAAGGCGAGTGTTGAGTGGCGGCCATAGCACCGACTGATGAAAGACAAACAGACCCTCATATTCTCAACAAAAAAGGTCAGTTGCATTTTTGCTATTGATAATGTGGAGATGCATTCCATGACAGTGGTCCATGGTCCATTCACGGGAGGAACATGGCGCACTCACCAAATTTGCCCACAGACAAACAGACCCTCATATTCTCAACAAAAAAGGTCAGTTGCATTTTTGCTATTGATAATGTGGAGATGCATTCCATGACAGTGGTCCATGGTCCATTCACGGGAGGAACATGGCGCACTCACCAAATTTGCCCACATAATTCAGAGGAGTAACTGATTGTCCCATGTGCTTTGCGGGAAACTAGTGATCTTGACCAAAGCTCACATTCATTGCTGTAGTCTGCAACCCCAGTGAAAACTCGTGCCAGGAAAAATGCCATTTGTTTGTGGTGGGGCCACTAGTGAAATTGCCGGATAGTATGAAGATGTCAAGAGCCTTGCTGTGGAAGCTTCTGAGGACACTCTGAACATCTTCCTTGTCGCAAGCTTTGCCTTTCTTCCAAAATTGTGCTGGAGAGTTGGACAGGTCGCTTGATCAAAGGCGCCAGCAGCAGTGAAACATACAGTATCATTGACATTGGGACCTTTCTCAGCGCTGCCGGTCTGCATGTTTGTCTCCAGACCCGAGCCCACTTTTTGAATGGCTTCAGATGGCAACAGGAACTCAGCCATGCTTTCTGCAATGTTTGCAACTCATCTTTCAAAAGGAAGCCGAAAACATTTCGTGCGCACCCAGCCACCCACCCACACCGCCCAACCAGTCGAGCCACACTCAAATCCCGGGTAGATGAAGGTTAGTAAGGGACAATCCCAGCCATAAAAGGTTGCGGCCGCCTTTGTATTTCCTGAAGCATGGTTCTGGGTCGGTCCCAAATGGATCCCTGGCAAATGGACACATGGACTAAAACCTGCGGTCCAATTCCTGGTGGTTTAATTTTGACCCATATTTACATGGTTCTGGGTCAACCATTTGAATACCGGGTTTTGAGCAAGTGACTCAGCTGCCCACCCAACACCGTTTGCGGCTCCGTCGCGTCGCGTTTTTTTCAGGGGCTGAAGAGCTCGGGCGCCAGCTCGGCGAGCTCCAGCTGGCGAGGCTTCAAAAGACCTGCGGAGGATGCGAAG